AGTTACCGCTTTTTGGAGCCTTATAGAAGGTCTATATACCCTATAGAAGCCTTATAGAAGCCCTATCTGTAGTTTCCTTTAAACAAGCCCCGCCCAAAACTGTTCAAGAAAGCCCCAGGCAACACCATAAACCCTGAGCCTCCCCCCTCCTAAAACCCCAAACCCTACACCCTAACCCCGAAACCCTAAACCCTAACCCCTAAACCCTAACCCCAAACCCCTAAACAATAGCCACTATATAAACCCTAAACCCTAAACCAGGTATCGACCTAGTCTGAAGGCTTCTCTGCGAGAGAAGGGTCCGGTCAACAAAAAACCCTAAAACCCAAAGTAGGGTTTAGGGTTTAGGGGTTTAGGGTTTAGGGTTTAAGGTTTAGGGTTTAGGGTTTAGGGTTTAACTCTTAAACCCTAACCCCTAAACCCCAAACCTTAAACCCTGATCCCTAAACCCTAAACCCTATAAACCCTAAACCCTAAAACCCTAAAACAAAACAGGCGCCCATCCCGCAGAGCCGAAAGCGCGCCAAGTCGAACCTTGCCTTCCTCGAGGCCTCGGCCCGTGGGCGAAAGAGGGGCTCCCTTTAAAGGGAGCTTCAAGGGTTCCCTTAAAGGGTTTAGGGTTTAGGGTTCCCTTAAGGGTTCTGTAGGGATCCTAGGCTTCCTTTAAAGGGTACTACAGGGCTTAGGGCTTGTAGCGTTGATGGGTTTAGGGTTTGTAGGGTTTAGGGTTTATAGTGTTTAGGACTTATAGGGTTTATAGGGTTAGGGTTTAGGGCTTATAGGGTTTATAGGGCTTATAAGGTTTATGGGGTTTAGGAGTTAGGGTTTGGGGTTTAGGGGTTAGGGTTTGGGGTTTAGGGCCTTTGGGTCAATGGTGTAGGAGTGTAGGAGTTCAGGGGTTGAGGGTTTAGCCGCTCATATGCACTAGCACTTGTACTGGTACTACGGTTGATGATATAAATCCTGCACTGCCCATAATGAGAAATATACCACAATTCCCATAGTTTAGGGTCCTTAAGGTAATGCAGGATTTGTATCATCAACAGTAGTACTACTCCGCGTTTGGTAAGCTGTGCAAGCTTGCTTTAGGGAACATCGTCATCAAAACCATTTCAGAACCCACCCTACAGGCTTTGTGTTTGCAATTGGTGGCTGTGCCCCGGCCAACACCAGGCATTTATGCTGGGCAAGCCCTTTTTTCAAAGCATCTTGACCTCAGGAACAGAACCAGTTTCAACGTTCATCACACAAGCTTTGTGTTTGCAGCCGAGGGGAGGCCCCCCAACCCCACGATTCCTTAAGCTGTGCTAGCTTGCTTTCAAAAACATCGCACCGTCAGAATGAAGTGCGTCAAACACAGAATTTGTATGGAACCTTTCGAAGTTGCGAAATCCATCATATATTCAACAACATCGCGCCATCAAAAACATTGCATCAAACACGCAGTTATTATGGGACCTTCAAAAGCGACAAGGTCCATCATATAGGCATTTTTCATGCAATGGTTTTGGCTTGCTTTGTACCACCAAGAAGCGGGCTTATTATAATCCTGTCAAAACCCATCATATACAAGCCTTGTGTTTGCAGATGGGGGGGGCTGCACCCCCCCGAACCCTGCTTTCTCACAGGCTTTGTGTTGGCCCCCCAACCCCTTTGCTTTTGCTTTCCACCGGTCTTGTGTTGGCAACTGACTGGGAGCGCTGCCCCCCAACCCCCTTGCTTTTTCCAGAAGCCGCACGGGCCTTGTGTTGGCACGTGGGGAGGGGCTGCAACAGCCAGAAGCCCCAGCAAGCAAAAACAAACTTTAGGTTTGTCCCAAGATGTTTAGTTTGTTCGGCCACTGCCGGCGGGTTCTGCCGCCGAAAAGCCGCCAATACAAAGAAACAAATTGATTTTATCAAAAGGTTTGTTTCTTGCACGGTGGCTGCCTGCAGGTCCCCTGCCAAAGGCAGCAAGCAAAAACATCGCGCCATCAAGAAGGACTGCATCAAACATAGTTCTTATGGAACCTTGCAAAGTTGCAAAGTCCATCATACAGGCATTGTTTATGCAATGGTTTTGGATGTGAATCCGGTCAAAACCCATCATACCGGCTTGTGTTTGCAAATGGGGGGGCTGCGCCTCCCCCAACCCCCCCGCTTTCTGAAGTCAGCCAAAGAGCCCCCAGCAAACAAAAACAAACTTTATAGGTTTATTCCAAGATGATCTGTTTGTTCGGCCACTGCCGGCGGGTTCTGCCGCTGAAAGGCGGCCAATACCAAAACAACAAATTGATTTTATCAAAAGGTTTGTTTCTTGCACGTGCAGCCCAAAGGCAGCAACAAAAACATCGCGCCATCAAGAAGAACTGCATCAAACACATAGTTCTTATCGAACCTTGCAAAGTTACGAAGTCCATCGTACAGGCACTGTTTATGCAATGGTTTTGGTTTGCTTTGTGCCATCAAACCCTGTCAAAACCCGTCATGCCGGCCTTGTGTTTGCAAATGTGGGGGGAACCCCCCCCCGCTTTCTGAAGCCACACCGGCCTTGTGTTGGCCCCCCAGCCCCCCGGCGCCCACAACCCCCCGCTTTTCTCAATAGCTGCAGCTGCAGCCAGAAGGCCCACAGCAAACAAAAGTAACCTCCAGTTTTACCCCAAATTTTGTTTTGGTTACTGCCGGCAGATTCTGCTGCCGAAAGGCCGCAACAACATCCTGTTGATTTCATCAAAGGCAGCAACAGAAAAACATCGCGCCATCAAAAAGGACTGCATCAAACACATAGTTCTTATGGAACCTTGCAAAGTTCCAAAATCCATGATGTGCCAATAAGATGGGGGGAGAAGGTTATCGTTCTTAGGGGAGAAACGGAGCTCCAGTGATGCTCATGATGCTTGCCTCCGAAGGTTCTTCAGGGCCTCGGAATGCGAAAAGAACGGTCCAATGATGCTCAGGATGCTCGTTTCCGGAGGTTTGTTTTGGCGCGTGCGTGCCGTTTCGTGGGTCTTACCGGCGATGTAGGGTTTGGGATTTCGGGTTTGGGGTTCATGGTTTTGGCTTTCCTGTGGGAGAGCCCGCGCCCCTTGCGCGTGCGGCGTCGCCCGCCGCTGGCGACCCTAAACCCTAAACTCTCAACCGTAAAACCTAAAATTTAAACTCTCAATCCTAAACCCTAAATTCTTTTCCCTAAACCCCCCTCCCTCAACCCCCTAAACAAAACCAAGGAGCGTTGCTAATCCGCGAGAGCCACTTTGCACGGGAGCCCTGGGGTATGGAGTCCGAGTAGAGCGCGAAGCTCGCAGTGTTCTGGAGCGAGGGGTAGGTTCCAAAGAGGAACCTTAATGGGGATCCGAAGTTCCTATTTGGGTATCCTAAGATCCTAGAACCCTAAAGCCCTAACATCTTAAACCCTCAAACACCCTGAACCCTAAACCCCTCTTTCCCTAAACCCTAAACCCAAAGAGGTTAAAGGCCACCTTCTCTGAGCCACTACGTAACAGGGAGACGTAGATTATGATTATTGGGAAGCTGTCCAGGCTAACTCCTGCTACAACGACTCGGATCTCACGGATGTGGTTTAATGATGACACGGGGTTTAGGGTTTAGAGCTTATAGGCTTTAGGGTGGATGTCCCCCCTAAACCCTGAACCCTAAACCCTAAACCCTATGATGATTGGGCATGAATGCGATTGTCCGTGACATTTCCCTTGTATGTCTCAAAACACATGCTGAAGGCATCAACGAAGACATTCAACAAGTCAAAATACGTGGCGCAAGGTGTTAAAGAAGCCCTGGTCAATTATCAACCACAAGCACAATGCTAGCAGCTTCAGTGCGTTGTTTGGCAACTGCTTTTGTTGAATCGAACACAACTATAAAATCAGGGATTCTGAATACTTTGGGAGTTCCAAACCACTTGTCCCACAACGGTATTCTTTACAACCTACTTGTTTGTTTTAATCTTGACTTTCTAGACCATTGTAAGCAACTATCGGTTCTAGTTGACAAACCAAAACTAATAGTCAAACGATTGTTTGAAGTATTTTTCAGGGTGCCAAATTTGCAAACAATTGCTAGCAGTAGTTTGGTGTTTAAGAACAATTGCAAAAGCAAGTGTTTGCAATAGTTTGGATTTCAAAGTATTGCAAAACAATTGCGTGCAATAGTTTGTTTTTTTTTTCGGACTATTGCAAAACAGTTGCGTACATGAAAAATGGTTTTGTATCAGGCTTCTTGAAAACATTGAATCTTTAAGGCTTGAAGGATGGCACAACTTTCGTGCCCAAGGGGTTACCACCTGTACTAGCTTTTTGATTTTTGTTGATAAACTCGGCGCGAAATAAAGCTGAGGCTGCATCCAGCTCGCAATCCCCAGGTAGGCGTTGTGCCTTGATGTGGCAATGGAAGCATTGAACTTCTGCTTGCACACTGCAGCACCCACATGTTCCTAATCCAAACAAGCCAGATCCAGTGGAGGCACCTGCGGGCAGAGCGGTGGCATCAATATAACAACCGCATGGCTTCTCCGAGCGACGTGTAACAAAACTGGCAGCCTTAAGCTGCACGGTTTAAGCTCGTTCTCTGAGCACCCAGCCGCTGGTAGCCGCTAGCAAGGGGTGCAGCTGTGGAACCCGAGGATCCACCTGTGCATTGATAATGCTGGCAGTCGTGCACCTTAACATTTTGAAAGGCTTGAGATCTCGAGGCCTGGGGCTTATTAAAGCTAAAGGCTTGGTTTTTGCGGTTGGCTGGCAGATTCGTCACACAGTGTAACAAATCGGCGCGCTGGCTCACGACGTCCTTTGCCGTCCGGCAGCTGTCCATGAATTGCTATGGCCATGTAATGTACAATGTCATGATACCACATCGTACGCTGATGCCGAATCTGGCATTGCAGATGGTTGCCAGGCCAAGTCAATCTATTGCAGCATGACGGATCACTTCATTTTAGATAGCCCCTGCTCGTGGGACTAATTTGCCATTGTGTGCAGACACGGCCGGCGTAGTTTCCCAGAACGCATGGGTTCGCAGCAGCCACCAGATGTGCCTCAGCAGCAAACTTTCAGCTGCCGGGCTGGTCTCCCCAAGTGTCCAGATCGTATCTGAAACAAAAGCTGCCGGCTTACTTTGGCATCCCATCGGGTCTTGTCAGGTTTTCTGGACATTGTCACCAATTGTATGGGCCTGAACTCGCCGGCCAAAGAGGTAGAAGTCAGAGCTGAGTCGCCATCTCTTGTACTGAGGGACAGGCGTTGATGGTACTTGCAGTTTTATGGCTGCTTTCGACCAGGCGCACCATGTTTGTAGACTGTGCTTGTGGATGGATGGTTCTGGGTTCTGGGGGCTCGGGAACGGAGGTGGAACCAGGAGAGGGGAATTCTCAAGACATACGACGTGTCGGTTTCTGCTACCAGGGCGGCTTTCGGTGTTTTGGTTTTTTGTTCTCCAAAGCTTAAGAATCCAAAGCTCCTGAAGGAAAACTTGGTTTCTCAATGCCATGGCTATCCTGCCTTGTCAGGTCTTGGCGGCTGATGCTCCTGCTGCTTGCAATGCAGTCTCTCAGCTGAGCTTTTTCAACCATGCGCTGTCGAAAATCAGAGGTTCCGCCCTGTTTGCCTGCAGGTTTTCGGCTCACATGAACGCCGGCTACAACGGCTCCCTGCCGAAAGCAATTTGTACTGGACCCTGCTCTTGATGCTGCTTTCCTCCTGAGGTCCTCCTGCTGAGCGTCCACAAACGCCAGCAAACATTAGCACAGCCGTAGATACTTCTCTGAGAACCGTTTGACCGTCTGAGCGACCATGTGTCGTGGCGAAACGATCGCACCGTGGCAGTGTCGAGGGTCACCGCAGGTTTCAGCAGCTAGCTTGACGGTCCGCCGAAATCCGTGCTAGCCTTTGCCCGTGGCAGCTGTTTTACGCCCCAGATGCGAGAGGTCAAGACTGCAAACCACTACGGGGCTCGGTTTCAAGACTGGCATGAAATCGTCTGAACTCCTAAACGCCCTGCAAGTTTCCAGGCGCTTCAATTTCAGATAACGGTTAACGGGCATTTCGTTGGCCTGCACATCCAGCAACCACTGCCCCTACTCATTGCGACATCGTTGGTCAGTGCCATGGAAGTTGGTGCTGCAGTTGCTGCCGGATGGACCGAAGAGGTTCGAGTTGTGAATGCTTTGTCTGCATGTGTTGCAAAGTCCCGGTGCCACCAAGTCTTGCCCTTCAGGAGCAACCGGTGAGGTACCTACAGCTGTCTCCAGTTTCTCGGCTTATGAGGGGCACTTCCAAGTAGATGCGGGATGTAGTCAAGAGCGGACAGGATGGCTATCCAGAGAGCCTGGTTGCCGTACCGGCTGCCCCGCAAGACCTGCCGCCTGCACCCCCGCGGGCCCAGGCAGGGAGAGGCACCATGCTGCTCCGTTGCATCGGAGCTTTAGAGACTTTGGCCCGAGGCCAACCTGGCAGGGTCGGAAACCGTCCTTCAGGCCGGATCCGGTCTCCTTGAGCGGTCAGCTGAGAAGCGCGGGCTCGAGGAGCGATCCCCGTGGGAGCAGCTCCTGGAAGCACAGGTCTTCCAAGGAGACCTTGCAGGCAGGGGCAAAAAACACCTCGGGATTTTATATAGAAGATCGGGTTTGAAGATGGCAGGCATTCCTTCCTTTCCTTTCGAGGCCCTGGCACTATTCCACCGCTCCTCCACACGCAACAGATGGCCGTGGAAATGCCTCCGATGAGGACTTGGGATGCCTCAGAAAATCCCAGTGCTTCGCTCCGTCTCCTGCGCAGGACGCCGATCATGGCGGCCATCGGGCCGGTTCCCTCGGGCCGCGTGGAGCTTCTGTCAGCCAACCTGGGTCCGGCGAACGCTGCCACGAGCATGAAGAATCCCAGTGCGGCTCAGCTTGAGCTTGGTATTTGTATGTCAGGCTATTCCTTCCAGGTTTGCCTCTTCGAACACTTGTGGCAGCTTGTGTGGCAAGTCCTCACGCGTGATGTGAGGACGCGTTCCAGTCGTGGCTAGTGGACTTGGAGAGATTTCACGAAGAGAGGCTCCTTCAGGCAAGTTTGACAATGTCAGCAGCCATGGGTGTGCAGGTGTGGCGGTTTCTCATTCTCTTCCCTCTCTTCGACTGCCCTTTTGCTCTGTCTCTCCCTCCCCAGCTGTAGTGCCAAGTAGATAGGTGGATAGCTAGATATGAAGAAGGACAGCCTCGGAAGTCGGCAAGGGAAGTCAAGTCTGGGGGCCGCAGGACCCGGTAGCCCTGAGGCCGAAGCAGGGGTTCTTGGGCTGCAGCCTGTGCTGCCCGTGAGTGGGGTGGAAAACCGTCCAGATGCTAAGTGGCAGATGCGTGATGCGTGGAATGATTTGCAGAGCATCGCGGCTCCCACCTTACGAGAGGGGGGGTCCTAGGGCAGCAAGCAAGCAAGCTGGCGAGCCAGCAAGCGAGCTAGAGGGATAGAGAGAGAGAGAGAAAGACGTCCTGCTTCCCTTCGGCTGTGTAGAAGAAGAAAGACGCGACTTGCACGTTTCGGTGCAGGAAGCCCAACGCCGCTTTTGCAGCTGTGGGCCCCACGCCTCTCTGAACGACTTCAAAAAATGGCTTTGCGCAGCATCGCACTTCGCAGACGAGGATGCCTCGGTGTCAATTTTCTGAATCTGAGTCTTGGGTCGAGAGTGTCTAGCTTACTGTCACACTTCGCCAGGCTATCGTCCGCGAAATGCGAAAGTCACAGCTTTGCACCTGGTTGCTGTGTGTGCGACGCCTCTCCCAGCATCGACCCGGGTTTTCGGAGATGAGCAGCGTGCTGACAACGAGCCTCCCCCCGGAAGTGAAGCTTCGCATTGAAGCCTTCATAGGGGGTAGGCACGTGTGGGGCCCCATCAGTGCAGTATCCTTGATGGCAAGTAGAACTTCTCTGGGAAGAGCTTTCGAGAAGGTTTGCCAAGAGTCTCAACTCTCAAATCTCTGCATCTCAGGCAAGAGCAAAGCAGATCGCCGAATGCGCTCAGCGCCAGCTGAAGCGGAGCGAGGCTGGACCCCTGCCCGGCCCCCCACGCAGTGCGCAGTGGCACAGCTTCAAACAGGAGATAGGTTGATAGATGGGCCCGATGCTTGGAAGGGCTTGCTGCGACAATCAGCATTGGCTGCGCTCGTGGCGAGGCATCTGGGCTTTGAAATCACATCTTCTGTCGTCTCGCCTGTTGTCTGTACAAAGTCCCGTGCAAATGCCTGTCCAATCATCCTGCGGCTCTCGAACCTTTGCCGATGTGGGACGTACCCTCCTGATTTTGATTTCTGATGCTCATGATGCTGGCTCCGAGTTGGGTCGTGACTTGTGTTTGAGGTTACAAGGCGGCTTGCTATTTTCCACCGCAGCTCTACTCTTGCTAGCCCGTTCCTATGAATTTCTGAGCTTCGATCATCCAGTTCCATGGGCGCAAGCTCTTTGCGAATTCGGGGCAGACATGCGGCACATTGCACAATCTCTGTGAAGGTACGTCCATCCTGCCGTCGTTCAAGCAGCTGAAGCTGGCTGCATGGCTTGCTACACCGAGATCCCAACTGACGATGTGGCATTGCAGGCCCTCTCCAATGGCTGGAAAGTGGTGCAAAATCAACATGCTATCTGCTGTCAGGCTCTCTACGAGGTGGTGGCATCTGAGCCACAGCACACCAAGGACTGGGAAAGTCTCTGATCCATACGGCAACCTCAACATATTTGTCTCGTGCCACGGTTCAGAGCTGCACGCGTGACTTGAACTTGCAGGAGGTGGGTGCCATGTTGTGTGCGCACCTGGCCATTGACGGGTTTCAGGCTGGTTGCCTTGGTAGAATTGAAGCTTTGGTTCCGCATTGCCAGACGCCTTCGCTGTAGGTTGAACCCAAATACCATGATCCAGAGTACGGGCTCTGGCGTGGCTTCTGGGTAAGCTTCCCAGCAGTGGAGAGTTTCGGGCAAGTCCAGCCTGTGCTAAATTGTGCCAATAAATATGCAATAAGGTCGACAAGTGCAACAGGCTTCGCTTGGTCCTGCGCTGGTGACTGCGACGGTCAGCCTGTCCTTCGAGATGTGTTGATGTCACGCGGATAGTGTGACACTCCAGCAAGGGACGGAGAGACATCTTCATAAGAAGTTTTCTCGTCCAGTTTCACACATGAGTCTAGCGACGCGATCATGTTGATAGAGTCCGGCTTGAGCTGGCAGCGCATGCCACCGGATGGGCTTGTCAAGAAAGGACATTCAGTTCTTTTGCAGGAGCTCGAAGCTCCCGCTTTGCAACCCTAGCGGAATTCAGACAAGCTGTCCGGTGTGGATCGCGTTTCTCGCTAGTGTCGTGGCATTGTACATTTCACTGTGCCTTGCGGTGGCACCTGCTTGGTTCCCCGTGCCGCGGTGACCTGTCGTACGTGCTCTGCCCAGAAGTCTGTTGCTCTTGCTTTGGCTTCTTTGACATGAGAGAAGGTGATGCAGCTCGTACAGAATTCCCCAGCCCAAACAAAGTCGTCTCGTGGCATCTCTTCAGGTGCTGCTGCCTGCGGCGCTCAATAACATGCCTCATGAAATCCGGAAGTCGCCATGATTTCGATGATTGCATCAGAAGAAACCCAGCAATGCAAAAGCTGCCAATAGCTCCAGTTGCGTCAGCGACAGCTTTAGCAATCACCTGCTGATTTGTCTTTTTGCCTAGTGGCATCATGGGCCTGCTGAGCCATGGTCACTACTCAAGGTGAGCCTGCAATGCAGTAGACGGAGAAGGGCACAGGCTGCCCGTAGTACAGCTCCGTTTCGAGATTTCTTGAGGCGAAGGTGCCTTGGGTCGCTTCGAGTTTGTGGCGGCCTGCGAGGCCGGGGCCTGGATAGAGGGATTTGCTGGTTCGCCGCCTCTAAAAACCTGGTTCGCTGCAGGCTCTTCTCGCAGATAGTCCTGGCTGTGCCAGTGCAGCGGACCTCCATGAGCTCTTCGATGTTCTGGATCCGCAACTTGGCTCATCAGCAATGTTGTGGTGCCTCAAAGGCAGACGCAAAGTCTTGGCAGAGAACTTCGTCGGTGGTCGTGTCGTTCCGTGTCATCGGCGGCTCAATAGCCCTGGAACGGGCGACGTAGGATCCGGAAAGTGCTGCTTGCAAGGCAGTGCACTGGGCAGGTTGGTGTCGGGGCGGGCCCGTCATGTCTTCTTCCGCACGAAGTTGGGTTTCATCGCGTTCCGGTGCCAGGAGTTTTCTCGGCTTCTTCAGGCTTACCAGCAGGCCATTTCATGTTCTCTTGAGGCCCTGGCATGCCGGATGCGTGGCCCTTGAGAGGCCCCGAAAGCCGCAGATGCCCACGCTGCCGCGGTCCGCCTGCTCGAAGGCCAGTCAGGCCCAAGTCCGCACGGGTCTCAAGGGCCCTCAGGCTGCGGCTCAGTGCTCCGAAAAGAAGCAACTGATGATCTTCTTAGGTGCCTCGCCGATGAAGGCAAAGCTTTAGCACTCAAGTACTTGAGGGACCTTGGGAGACTTTCGAACACACGCGCAGACAGGTGGGCAGCCCGGCACTGTGCTCAGCCCCTTAGCCGGGCTGCGAGCATGGCTGCTGCAGAAGAACTGGATCTTCCAGGATCTTGAGGTGCAATTGCCCTGCGGAGCAGAGCAGACACATGCGTGTAGCAGATATCTGCACAGTCTGTCCTCCGCAACTCCACCATTTGGTTCGAGAGTGTGGGGCCTTGATCGCTCTCCTCCTCATCATGTGGCCGATACAAGGCTAGTCAGCAGCTAGTCTTGTTGGGATAAGTCATGTGTTTTGAGCTCGGCACTCCGTGAGAAACTTCGAGTACGTGCTTGCACAGGTCGCTGCGCTTTTCAAGTGCCGGCAAGTTCCGCATGGACCAAGAACAGGCGAAAACGGTGATGCAGTGTTCGGAAGCATTCGTGCATCATAGCTGTCGTAGCTGGCGGACAGGTGTAGCGGCTGGCAGGTGCAGGAAGCCATGAGCCTACACGTCCAGCGAAGACCAAAAAGAACTCGTGGAGAAGCATCGCTGAGGTGACAGGGAGGATTGGCTGTAGAAGGCATGCTGCCGCGACGGTCACAACCGACAAGGGACTACGAGATGAGATTCGCAGGACGGCGTTTAGTTTAGATGCGTGTCTGGCGTTCACATGGCATGTGGTGGTCCTGAAGAACTGTGGAGATTGTTTGGGTCTGGGAAGGAGACGGAAGACTGTGGAGAAGTTTCGGGAATGGAGATATGCCATTACGCTTGCTTTCGCCGCTGCAGGTTTTGCGCATGTCTAGAGAAGCAGCAAATCTCAGCCTCTCTGAAGCAGCTACTCCCGGTGCTGCAGGTGGTGTCGGGTTGGCGTTCCGCCGCTGGAGGGGACGTGCCGGCAAGACCGGCTTTATTGTGGCGACTGCTGCTGGTGTTACTGCGTGGGTAGTGGCCACGAAGCGGTGGGAGTTGCCCCTTGACTACACAGACCACCGGTTACGAGATCCCCACAGAGGTGGGACGGCTTTGTGACATTGTGTAGCAGCATAAGCATAGTCTGCAAGTCAATTTTGCTTCAGCCCAGGAAAAACATATCCGCCGAAGAATTAATCAATGCAGCTCGGCCAGTTTCTTCATTGAGTGGATCTCTGTGATTATGTAAGTTAGTTTCCGCACTCAGCAGATGCGCATGATGCGTCAGGTTGCATTCTCGGGTCCAACAGCAGAGCTTTTCTCGCGGCTTCCTTCAGCGATAGAGACCCTTCAGGGACGACTGGGATCAGACGAGTTGCTCGGCCTGGAAGGATGGCACAGGCACAGCTTTGCAGTATCCCTCATTGCTATCCCAGGCTTTACATTGCAGACAAGGTGGAGGGTAACTTTGCCATGCTCCGGCGCCTCATCAAGCTCTCCTGCTCTGATCGACGCCCTTACAGCGAAGCCAGAGCGATCTTGGATGAAGAGGGTACCTCTGCCAAGCACTGGATCGGACGAACGAGGTGTTCTCAGGTGACGCAGACAGTACCATTCCCCACGAGTAACAACGGGATCATCCGCGGGATCAATGTAGTATTCGGGCGAGTGTTGCCGTCGAGCTAACGCCTTGAAGCCAAGGCCTTGCATCAAGCGAAGTTCCGTCGTCGGCGCTGGAAGAAGGGCTCAAGCTGCTTCCGTTTGCAGAGGTTACCTACGAGGCTGGTGTGCTTGTGTCTGAAGCTTGAGCGATCGCCTCCGTGGCAAAATCCGAGAGTCATTCCGAGCTGTTACTGGAGGAAGACGAAATTCTCAAGGAAGTCTGTGGCGAATCTGAACTGGCCGTACGTTGCTTTCCGTCAGACTTCAGTCTGTGGCTCATCAGAATTCATGACGCGACATGCGGCGGTTTCGTCAGGTCAAGAACGTGGCCTTCAAGCGAGGTGCCCAGCGGACGAGTCGGCGTGCCGACACCTGGGAAGCCCACACCTCTTCGACAGGAATGTGAAACACACAGCACACACGCAAGCATCGGTCAGATCTTCGTGCCTGCCGCAGCAAGTTTTGATGTTGAACCGCGGAGCGCATTGAAAGCACACGGTACATCGTCAGTTGAGCTCCGCAACGTTGTTGAGACTTCGAGGTCCTCGTGCTTGAAGCTACGAGCAAACCTGGAAAGCCAGCACATTTCCTGTGCTTCGACTCTGAGAAGAAAGAAGCGATCCTGTCTATTCGAGGCTCCCACCTGCAACCTTTCACTGTGCATTGGCGTCGGTCCTCCCCTTTTACTTGACGAGTGGCTTATGGCTTCATGTTCCTTTTTCCTGGGTGGTTAGGTGACACCATCAACCGAAGATCAGCAGATGCAGCAATAAGTGGCACTAAATGAAGATACGACCCTGCTTTGATGTGTGATGCGCTTCTTTCCTTCCACCTCTGCTGCCGGAGGCACATCAACGCCGGCGGATGCATTGACGGTGACTCGGACATCGCAAGGCTTAATGTGAGCGAAAGTTTGCAGCTCCGGCAGAACGAAGGACTTGGCAGGAAACATAGAAGAACGGGCCGTGGACAACGGCAAACTGCACTGCGGCTGCACCTGCGAAGTCTGTATTTAACAGAGCCGTTGGCAGCAGCACAAAGCATGCAGGTATGCTCATGCTGGCTTCTTGACCTCCGCCGAGTACGTTTTGCAACGAACCGTGCCTGCCCTCAGGTGCCCAAGATATTCGAAGTCTCAAGAGTCTGATTCCGGTTTGTGCTGCAGCTACTCCTGCCAGGGATCTTCTGGCACCGCTTGGCTATGGGTTGATTGTCACAGGGCACAGTTTGGGTGCCAGCACTGCCTGCTTGGTCACCCGACTTCTGCGGGCGCAAATGGTCGAGTGGTGTCCCGGCAGTAATTGCACATTTTGCGAGCCACCGGACCTTCGTGGGAGGTATGACTCGGTATGATTCTCTGCAGCTGCACCAGATACTCACCAATAGTCACCAGTCACTTCGTTTCCTTGCAGATGCACTTCTCATTCATGGCCTTGGCTTTTGCTTCTCTTTGCTTCATTCTTTTTGCTTGGACCCACAATCGCTGGGTTTATCCGACTTCCCTTAGCATGTTTCTGAGAAAGCGTTTTCAACAGGCCAAGCCACCATGCTAAATGGTCTCGGAAGTGGGGCACCTTCCTGCAGTTCTGAACTCCAAAACAAGCCAAAGAGTGCAGGCCCAGCCAGACCTGAATGAATCTAAGTTTTTCTCAGGAGTGATCCACTTGCCTCACTGCGATGTGTCGCCTTTGCTCCTTGTCCGTGCTCCTTGGTAACACAGCCTTCAATTTCAGTCTGCCAAGTCTTTTCCATGGAGGACGTGTGAGTCGGCAGCTTCGTAGCTTCGCGAAGCACCGGAGGCATGGATGCAGTGAATGCTGGGCTCTGTGCAGATGGAGACGATGGACCTCCACTGGTCTTGAGCGACTTGCTGTGGTAGTTCTTGCATCTTATGGTGCTGACGCTGCGTGCAAAGGGAATCTCAGGTTTCGTCTGCAATGACGATGCCGTGCCACGTGTGCTCTGGCAAGTGCTGTTTCGAGATGTCAGTGGCTTCTCCGATGCTTCCATGTGGGTATGGCTTGGCTATGCTTGGCTTGGCAGATCAGCATGCAGAACCTGGGCCGGCTGTCGTTGCTCGGCAAGGGCGCATCGGTCGGGATCTCAACTCGGTGAAGTGGCATTCCGCAGTCTGCCAGAGCCTACGTGGACAGGTCCAAGAGGTGATACGTCTGGCATCAAGCCGAACTTCTCGGGAGACGGACCAGCAGTTGCCAGGGAAGGTGGTCGTGCTGCACCACAAGGCCAAGCGATGTTGGGTGTAACAGGAACATGTCGAGTTGGACGGACTGGTGAATGTTCCGCACCGTTACGTGAAGTTTACCTTTCAGGACGACGATCCTATTGATCAGCCAGAAGTCGATGCAGACACCGACACGGATGCGAGCGAGGCATCCAAGGCTTCTGGCACTCCCGGCAAGTGGATGGCTTGGCTTGGTCTTGGCCTCAGAAGTCTGGTGGAGCATCTGACTTCCGGGTCGCTGTCGTGCTCTGCTTCGACAGGAAGTGCCAGGGATTTTCCAGAGGTCGGCTACATTGAGTTGGCTCCCGATGGTATCACAAATCACCTTGCCGCGAAGTACCGGGAATCCCTGGCGGTCGTGGCTGCCTCGCGCGGCGTGGCTCTCGAGGCGGAGCCCCGAGCAGCAGAGACCTTTCTGGACTGGCGCCAGCGAGCAAAGTGTACATAGTGACGTACGTAGCATACGTAGCCTTGGACGCTCCTGTTTCGAGTCTTCAAAGCTCTGCTCCCTTCGAGGGGGCGGTTGTCCGTCTACCGGGCCAAAGTATCGCTTGAGATCGCTTGAAGCCAGTATTCATAAAATGGCGCAGGTTTGCTGCTTCTCTGTGCTGGTTAAAATGCTGCTTTTTGCCATGCTGGCACAATATTGGCAGGCACTACTGGGCGGACCGCGAGCAGAACTCGGTTGGACTGAGTTTGCGGGGCGGCTGCTAACCCGCGTGGCCCGCATTGAATCGGATCAGCAAAATTTGTTCACCGTTTCTCTTTGTCGTGCACGTTTGGTATTTTGCTGGCAGCTGTGCCTTGAGGTCAAGACGCCCTGGCTCACTCGCACGGCTCCAAGGTCAAACTTTTTGTGTTGTGTCCTGATCAAAGACTCCCCAGGTCGAGGTGCGGCGGACATCTTTGCGCAGCTTCAGGCCGGCAGCCAGCAGCCCTGGGAGTCCGTTTTCTGCTTCTCCCCAGAGGTGCGGTCCACAAAAGCTCCACTCGGTGAGGTGGAAGCCGTTGTTCGGGGCTGAGCAGCTCGATTTGCGGGGTCTTTGCAAGCTTGAGCTCCTATTTCCAGGTGCGAGTGCCCGACTTGGTCCAAGCGCTGCTGGGGTCAGAAGACTTTGCCGTCGAGGTTGGGCCCAGATCGGCAGTGTGTCAATGCGTGAGGCATCGCAAAAGCTAACGAGTCAACACATTGATCAAGAGCAGTGCTCCCACGGATGCACGCTTCAGGCCGCTCGCAGAGTTGTCCGAATTGTTTCACGAGAAGCCCGACACCGCGATCAGGATGTTGGATTCTGAGCGAGGGCAGGAAGTTAAGTTGTGTCCGAGAGAATATTCGTCCGTTGCGGATGCCAAGGTGGGAAAGCTTTGTCTGGCAGCTGACGTCCGACGTGGGAACCATACTCTTATTTGCTCGTCAGCATGGCAGCCTCTATCTCTGAACAGGTGTGGGGAGCCTCGACTTGAAGCAGCTGAGCTCAGTGCTGTCCGCTTTGTGCCCGCAGATGCTTGCAGAGGCACGCTATGGCTCCTGGCAGAGAGCTGCGAGAGCAGTGCCCCACTTCTTTTCCTGCAGAGGCAGATGTCGGACTGCTCTTTTGGCGATTCTCCGGCGGCGGCTGCTTTTCCTACGACCAGCTGCAGGCCGGGAGACTGGGACTGCTGCCTGCTGCCGCTGCTGGAGTCTTTGCAGGCCGAGCTGCGTGCAGAGCAGTCAGCTGCAGCAGAGCATCTCTTGCTGCGCGGCATGCCGGTGGCGCACCGAGATTTTGGCCGAGAAGCGCAACGCGACACCCCAAGCCAGCGCACCGAGGCGTTGATTCGACAAGCTGCTTCTTTCGAGGCACATTTCCATCGCAAGGAGAGCATGGAACAAGTTTTTGCCCTTACGTCTTCCGAGGCTGTCGTAGCTTGGATATGTGCAACAAAGTATGTATATGACGTGTATCTGTATATGTTTCTGATTGTATATGTATATGTGTATAGGTACAGGTATAGGCAGAGGTAGAGGTACAGGTACAGCGAGAAGTATAGGTGTTGGTGTAGATGATGTAGATGTCGGTGTAGGTAGGTATGTGTATGCGTATGTAACCGTGTGTATGTACGCATGTATGTACATAAACATGTACATAAAACAGCGTGAAAGCGGCCATCCATTGATCCTGAAAGCACCGGAGTTTCTGCTCGGTGGCTTTGCCTCGCGTATCTGGCCAAGCCATGGCGGATACTTCGAAGAGTCGAAAGCCACTCGGAGGAGCTCCGAGTGGTGAGCGTTGGCGTGAAGCTCGAGACCGAAGGCATCGCTCAGGAGCTTCGCAGGAGGAGCAGAGCGCTTTCTGCGGGGCTGGTGGTGGAGAAGGAGACTGAGACGGAGCAGTTTCAGACACAGGCGCCACGACAGTTCACGCGCAAATCGGTCATTATCACCAAATCGGATCACCCGCTTCAAGAGTCCTTCTGGGATGCTTTGTTGTTGGCAGGTCTGCGTGAGATCGGCCCGGCGGGAGGTACTGTTGAAAGACATGCTTTGTGGAGGAAACAAAGACTTCGTGTACTCCTTCAACCTACAACTTGGACCCATCCAAGGTGGGAGCTGGCAGCCTCGGATTCGTTCGAGGGTTGAAGTGGTGGTTGCGAACTACACCAGCAAAGCTGTGGCGGACAACAATTCCTGGAGGCTGAACCTAGGCTTCCGAAAGGTGGCCGCAGTGGTTGCGCCCACAAAGCGCAGATCTTTGCAAGAGTTGGGAGTGGTGGGCACTCGCAGTCATGATCGGTGCTCAAGACTGCTACTTTTGTGACATCCAATTTCCACTCCACATGGTCGGCCCAGAGACCTGCGGCTGCACGGTAGACAGTTGGATGTTCATGGACATTGGGCGCCGGCAGCGTCAGAACGAGCCGGCCTTCAAGGCAAGTCAGCACAAGATATTCTCCCAACATCCTGCGGCTGCAGTCAGCAAAACGCGGCCTGGTGCCCGAAATGTTCAGCTGTTAGCGATCCTGAGCCATGGAATGCAAACTCATTTCGGTTATGTGCGACCACGCAAGGATGGTTGCCCTTCTCCAGTTTTCAATCCCTTTCATGATGGAGCCCACAATGGGACGGTCGTTCTTGAAAAAATGCCACAGTTGAGATGCAGCCTTGCAGGCGCTGATCGGTTGGGATGTTGTGGCCTTGCAGCTTTGAAGGTTTTTCCGTTGCTTTAAGGAATACATGGGTAGTTCTCTAAATTAGGGCCCCTTTTAGGTCCCCAATATGGTACGGCACCCTTATAAAAAGGATCCCGAAAGGGACCCTAATTTAGCCAACGACCCACATACAGGCTGGGCAGGAGCGAAAGACTCTTTTTTGCGAGGCCGCTGCCAAGATCCAGGACAGCACGCGCTCCGGGAAGCTCTCCGCAGCCCAGTTGCTTGGCCAAGAACTGACCTTCAGTGCGGAAGCAGATAAAGAGCCGTGGGGCCCGTGGGGGGGCCCGGGGGGGAGACTCTGTCGGGCAGGCTGCGAGCGGCCTTGGCGCAGATGGACCTCGGCCTGAGCTCGGAAGGAGGCGGAGGCTCGAGAGGGGGCTTTTTCCTTCGTGGTTTGTGGCCTGGTCTCTTTTGCGTTTCGAGGCGCCGGCATGTCGGAGTTGGAGGAGTTTGCAGGGCTCCTAGCGGCTGCTACGCAGAAGAAGGTCGAGCAGTTTGACTACGCCTCTTTGGTCTCTGGTGGAAGCTGGAAGGCAGAGATGGCAGGGTTGGCCTGCAGCCTCAAAGTGAAACTTCTCCGACGGTGCACTTGTGCAGGGTCCGACGTTGGAGGATGCAGTTGCCACTGTTTGCCGCGGCAGCAAGAGCTTGTCGAAGCCTGCCAGCGCGGACAAGAGGCAACTGTCGACCCATTCTTGAGGTCGAGAGGTTGCTGCGGACTGCTGACAGGCATATGCTGTCCATCCTCTTCTACAAGACTGCGGAAGCAGCCAAGAAGTTGGGCTTGCGCGACGCTGAGCCAAGACGGTTGACTTTCAGCTGTTGGACTGTTGGACGGGACGGCTAGAGCAGGTCAGCTCAGCGAGCTTTCGATGGCTTGGACCGTGGCAGCAAGGGCTTCCTCAACGCCGAGGCAAGAGCGGAAAGGGAGATCCGGGAGCTCCCCGGCTGCTCTGATACTGTTTCAATACTCATGCCAACACAGGATTTGCGCTTGGCCGTGCTTCAGATTGTCGGAGGAGCCGCCAGCCCAGAAAACATCTGCTGAGTTTCGAAGACTGAGGTGCATGGGCATGCTTGAACCAAGGATCAAAGTCTCACCTTGAAGGACCTTGGCATTCTTCCCTCAACAAGGCCAGTCCAGCAGCCAGTCTTGCGAGATCTTGCGAGCAAAGGGACCTCGGCGGCAAGGTTGAACTTTCCGGACTTCGAGAAGCGCTTGAATTTCGATTTCGGCCTGCTCTCAAAGCACATGGGCGAGGCCTGACCGCTGATCTCCGAGATGTGCAAGTAGCGTTGGCCCCACGTTAGCCGATTCTTCCGTTTCATTCAGGTCTTTTCTGACGAGCCTTCGATCAGCGAGCCGGGACCTGGGGATTTTGTTTTGGATCACGTTGGTACGCACTGCAGTTTTGTCGGAGGGCACAATGCAACCTGCGTTGTCCGAGCTCATTTCAGTGTTCAAGTGGCCCGCTAGGCAGCACAGTTCAGAAGAAAGCCGGGACAGTATGGCCACAGCGGTTGCAGAGAGGATGAGCACCACCATGTTCCGCACGTTGTCAGTTGGTTCTCCAGCTCGCCTTGCCGGGCGATGCACCCAGAACCAGATGAACCAGCTTGTGTTGGCTTCTACGGATGGTGCAAGTGTTCCCTTGATGATTTCACCAGGCATCGACTTGGGTCAGGGCTTCGTCGAACTTGTTGGCACGAAAGGCCCAAACAACGAGCTCCAAGTGACGTCAGTGTCCAGATTTCAGAACGACGACGTGGACTTCGATCTCTGGAACCAAGCCCTGCAGATCAGCCAGGCTCCCGCACTTCGTCATCTTTTCAAGCCGGCGGAGGCGAGTGGGCTTGTAGGAGCTCCGATGGGGGCTCCCATGGGAGCTCCCATGGGCTTTGCGTGATTCTTGTGCGAATCAGATGGGGCAGAATGGGATGCCCACTGCAACACAGGGGTCTGATTGCCGTGCTAGATGCGGATCCGGGGAAAAAAGATGCTCTGCTCACATCTTCCAGCATGATGCTTTTGGTTTGGTTAACAGACAGTTTCGGGGTTACTTCTTTCATTTCGAAGGTCAGATTTCGTCAATCGTCTGAGCCAGATTGCTGGCCTGGACAAGGCCGGCATGCCGTGGAATCGGAAGTTAAAACCATCAACGCGCTTGTTCCGAGGCGACTCTACAAAGCTGGCTACAGCTCATGTGCCCCCTGACTACTCACAGCCACTGTTCGCATGCGTCCAATTTGGAAGGTACCCGGGGGGTTGTCCGGTCGATGGCGTTGGGCGCGGTGCGTGTGAGACTTTCCTCGCGACAACGCCTGCGCTGGTTCCAGGAAGCACAGGCGGGAACCTTCCCGGTTCTTTCTTGCTTCGCGGTGACATGGGCAAGGGAACGAGGTAGAAGCCGTGCTGTTCCTGACATGGGAAAGGGCAATCGTCACAGATTCAGCGCTCGTTAGAGGCCGCGGGCTTTAGGCAATGTTTCAGGGCTTGGCCTTGGCTGTGGCCTGAGTCAGAGCCACTGCCGAAGTTTCTTTATGTCAGTGCTCTGCTCCACGTTCACGCTCTCTTGCGACGACTCCGTGAACCTTGTCAATGTCATGACACGGACTGCGACATCACGCCTGAAGCATGGCAGTTGCGGTTGGCCATGTGGTCGGCTGGGTGGGGTCGGCTTCGGTGCTGCACAGCCAGGGCGCACCTTGCATTCTAAATTCTAAACCTTTTGGAATAAGAGTTCCGTTTGTGCCTCTCTTCCTCTGTGTGTGTGTGTGTATGTGTGTGTTTGTGTGCGTGTGTCACACACTTGCGCAATCGCCGCAAACGAAATCTAAGCTGCAACCCACTTGAACAGGCGCTGTCCTCAAACTTCAAGGCTTTAACATTCGCGCAGAGTTGATGAAGGATGCCGAGGCTGGAAGCGGTGACCGTCGGAGCGTAGCGGAATGTGCCTAACACAATGCAATGTCATGTGAAGCCCTTCTTGGATTGTGAGGCCGAAGGAACAGCTGGCACATTGCCAGCATGGGTAGCCAATTCCTCAGCCCCAGCACACTGTGGCTCGGGATCCTTCTTGCAGGATTAGAAATTAAAACAACAACGCTGTGCTGGTCAAAGTCTCGGAGCCTCCAGATCCGAGCGATCGAGCTGCTAATGCTCGGCTTGTGTTTCATCCGCCCGTCGTCTCAAAAGCCAGTCGCACTTCGTGGTAACGGGAGCAATGGTCGAAAGTTTCACTCGAAATCGTTCGACTAAGCCGCAAGGCACCACACCCCCTACGGCTCTGCTCCCAGACCCTCCAAAAGAGAAGCGGTGCGGTGCTTTTGTCGGTGTCGGTATCACAGCGAGCCTCGCCGGCATCTTTGGAGAGGGTTGTCGACCTTTCAGAGAAGTTAAGGCCGTGTCTCGTGGGCGCGACCTGCTGAAGAAGCTTGCGGCCAAGGTGGGATTCCTTTTTCCAAGCGAGGGTCGTGCGTGCTGCAGAAGTAGATGCAGGCGGACGTGAGTTAACGCACATCTCGGACAGGATGCTGACCAGCTGGTTAAATCCGTTGCGGAGGTGGGAGTTTCAGCCCTGCAAGCGGTGCCATGCCGTGAGATGGCGCTGACAGCAGGTGTCAGCCAAGTATCCGGCGGCCGCGCCTCAAGAGGTCCAAGGGCCTCGTGGTCCAAGGCTGCAGGTCTTCGCTTGTGCCTCGGAGGTCATTGCCGGTGCTCGTATGAAGACAGAATCCGAAGCTCCGCTTAGCTCGGGCCCTGACCAGTAGGGCCTCGTGCGGTTCCGGCTCGTTGACCTCAGCCAACCCTGGCGTCCAAGGAACTGAAACTCTGCTGAGTTGTGCCGAGAGTGAGAGAGCTTCAGCCTCAGGTGGCCATCTACCAGAGCCCATCATGAGGTACAGATGTCATCATGTGTGTGCATGGGTTGCGAGTGCTGGTTTCATCCGCAAAGCTTGGCAGCTACCTAGGTCGTGGAACATATCTTGGAGGTTACCTTCAAGTCTGTGACGGGGTTCAGCAGAGCTGCAGAAGTGTTCATCCGGTACAGCTGCTATGGCACCAATTGCGTTGCCGATGCACCAGCTTCAGCACAGATGGACTTCAGTGCAAGGCATGTTTTCGGCCTCAGCAGCAGTGACTCGCTGGCGAAGCTTTTTGAAGGACGGGATCATGCATTCACAATTCAGGCATGGATCGCTGTTGCAAAAGATGAACTCCGACGACCCCTTGCAGTCGCCGTGGTTCCAGCGGCCGAGTTGCGCTCCTTCTTGGAGTCCAGTCTGCTGGAAAGGCCACGCCCCGAAGCGGTTCTTGGATCGCAAAGGAAGTGGGCTCTATCCTTCACTCCGGTACCCATCACGGACCCCAAGCTGAAGAAGCCGCCTCTTGATGCCGTCAAGGGAGACGTAGAGCTGGTGGTGCATTATAGTCGGCGCCCAAATCCGGATCCACAGCGAATGGCGTTACCTTGGAACTCCTCCTTTGCTGGCCGCTTGGTGGTTTGTAGGAAGGGTGTTGCAAGCGTAACGTGTGATGACCCAGAAGAGGCTCCGAGTGGGCTTGCACCACGAGAAGAGGTGCCAAAAGCACTTCCCCCACCTGGCTCGGTGATCATCAAGATCTCGATCGTAGGGCTTCAGCTCCAAGCGGACGCCTTGCGTGGCTTGGTGGCTCGTTGTTTGCAAGGCCAGCTGCTAGCTGCTCCTGGTTCTGTCGGCGGCCTTGTTAGCAAGGCGCCGAAATTCTTCATGCGCCTTTGCCTCTTTCCCGGAAAGCCTGCTATGCAAGTAGCGGGCTGCGGTGGCTGGGTGGAAAGTGGAGTGAAACCGGTTCCCGAGAACTTGTTGGCTCCGGCCAGCCTTGCCAAACCTGAGGGGGCGCAAGTGAAGTTCGATTTCAGCTGGAGCTCGCCCCCCCTGGAAGCAAGCCAAGCTGTTCAGTCACTCCAGGATGGAGTTGTGGCCCTGGAAGTTTGGATTCGACACCCAGCTGCGGACCTGCGCCTGGCCGAGAAGTCCGTGCCGCTCCAGTCTCTGCTGGAGGCCGTGTCACCGGAGGATTCCAGCGAACTGCGTCTACGGACTCTGCAGCCAGCCAAAGTGGACTTGACTGCAGCTTTCGAGCGTGATGGGAAGGCTTTGGCTCAGGTGTCCGCCGGTTCACTGGCAGAGTTGCAGCTCCCCAACGGCCCAGGGACCCTGTCATGGCTCGTCGAGAAGCCCAGGCCAAAGCCCAAAGAACCACAGGCTCCTTTACGGGCGGAGTACTTGGTTCACCTTCGAGAGGTCCTTCTATCTGGAGATTTTGTGCAGCATTTGGCCGGCGAGTCTTTGACATCCGCCAAGGAAGAAGAGCAGGGAAGAAGGTACACCCGCAGAAGCTTGGACGCCTCACAGGCGGCTCCGGACGTGCCTCTCTTCTACCTGGAAGTAGCTGAGGGCAACTTGCCAAAATTCTGCAGGTTTTTCAGCCCGCTGTAAAGATGATCCAGGGTCATTGGTTAGCGGTGATCCCTGGTCTTAATGGTTCTTACCTTCAATGTTCTTTGTCTTCGCCGGAAATGCAGCCCCCTTTGCAGGTTATGTGTCTGCATGGCCAGGCTCCTCTGGCAGTCGCTTCCGCTCTGCTCCTGTCCGTGGCGCACTTGATGGGCAAGGCTGGGTGCGTGTGAATCCTGGCGAGGATGCCTCCCTTTCTTTGCCTGGGCGGTACGTCCTCGGAGGCGGATCCGGGGAAGCGGGAAAGAGCATGGATGCCTCGGTGCTGAGTGCAGAGAAACACAAGCTTGGGCTCCGCCTACTTCAGTTCAGTTCTGGCAGCGACACAAAGGCAGCGGCACAAGCTGACGTTGTGCTTCCGCTCGGAAGAGAGGTTGAAGGTGTTCCGTCCATGTATTTTGGAGGTCTGCTTTGGATACCACTGCTTCACGTGGCTCCAGAGAATCCTTGCACTCGGGTTGTGGGACGTGCACTGCTTTGTATCGAAGCTTGCAGGCCCAACGTTTCCAGAGACCTTCGGCTCCTAAGGCAGGTGCCTCTGGCACCTGCCGGTTTGTACCTTCCGCTTTACAAGGATTGGGAAGCGCCAAGGCCACCCACTTGCCCAGTTCCTGGACCTGCTTCGTGGCCGCTGGAGTCAGCGGTGCGAGCTTTGGCTGGGGATGACTTGTGGAAGAAGCTCAACGACGAAGCGGTGAAGCCTGGCATCATTTCTTCTGGAGCTTTTCAAAAGGCCCTGCAAGCTGCGGCGGAAAGTTCAACGTCCCCGCTTTTCCGTGCAGCTTCGGCTTCCGCGACCACGCCTGCGGCCAGTGGCGCGGGAGTGGAAGACTTGCACTTCCTCGTGGCGACTCTCGCGCCCATCATGGCAGATGCTGGCTCGACGGTTCCTTTCAGGCAGCGGCCCAATGTCATGTCACGATGTTCTCAAATTCTCCAATCCGTTTAGTCAGGGCTAGACGGCTAGACAGTCTCAGGCCGCTGCTTCTTTGGATGGGTCTTCGCAAGCTCGCCCGCTTGATACTGCCCATTGCAAGAGGTGCGGGAGCTGTGTCACGCGATTCACGGCTTGATGGCCTCGGCCCCTGAGGCCTGCTGCAGCAACTCCAGCAGCTGGAGCTCAAGGGTGACGCAGGCTGCGTGAGTGCTGATGGAGCCGTTACGACTTGCTTATGTGCGCACGGAAGGCCTTAGAGGATCTTCTGGAGCAGATGCCTCATCAACATTTATGTGACTGGTGTCCAAACCCAGACGTTTGCGCGCGGTGAGGCAGTGTCCTTTGCGAGCTTCCAGGCCGTGCTCCAGGCATCGTGGCACATGCTGTGAACCGAAGCGCAAGCACAGTCTCAGTGGCATTGGTTGCAGGCAGAGCTGCAAAGGGCGGGCTTACCAGGCAAGTCCTGCTGATGCAAACATTCTTAGAATGCAGCTGTTTCGAGATATGCTCTTGTGCAGATCTGCCCGCAGCTCTGTGGCAGCTGATCTCCCAAAGATCCGAATGGCTGGCCGGAGGTCTGAGTCATGCCCTTCTGTTCAACTCACCTAGTTTGAAGTAGTGTTCGTGTCTTCTGGTGATGCTTGCGTCGGAGCTTCAAATCCTCAGCGGGAGTGCAGTGCAGGCCATTGGCACTTTGACTACATTGTCTTCCTTTGGGACTTGCAGGCTGCCAGCGGCAGCGAAGTGGCCTTGCAAGGCTCCGCAGAGGCGATCTCTTGGGTGCCGTGCAAATCCGAACAGTTGGGAGGTACACGTGGCCGAGACACTTCCGCGGGAGCAGAGAAGATCGGGAAGGTCAGAACCTGTGCTGGTATAGCCTGTCTTTGAATCAAGCGGTTCTTGCTGGCTCCTTTGTGCAGGCTTGCACAACTTTCTACAGAGGGCGACGGAGTGTGGCTACATTATGGCTACATTGTGTAGCTAAGGAATTTTGTCACGAACTGCGCACAGTGCACCAGCAGTTTCCATCAGACAATCGAAAACACCGTAAACTCAAACCTCCAGAATCATAGGGATTCGCTGGTACTTGTGACTTGCGAGTTGTCCGCGGCTAACATTGTGATTCACCCGCGCCGTCATACTTGCAAAGGGAGGTTTCTCGGGGACTTCTCATAAGGTTCTCGCCCGATCACAAAAAATCTGGAATCCGACGGTTGCCGTCAAGAGGGACATGGGCCCACTGGGCCAACGAGCAAGCTAATAGAACTTTGGATCACATTCGCCCTTGTTCGCCTCTTGTGCCAGAGATGTGAAAGAAGCGGGTCAGGCAGAGCCGGAGTTTGGCAGAGCTGGGGATGCACAGAACTTTCACGCAAGGCTGGCACCGATGTGCTCTTCTGGCCGCTGCGATCTGAACTTCACCTTCAGAGGCAGGAGCGGGCATGAAAGATGGCTCTTTTCCTATGTGGTTTCTCTCGCTGCAGGCGAGAGCCGACTGTCTCTCCCCGCAGTCCGGTGCAGAGAGATGCCATGGCACTTCCAAGGCAGGTGCTGAGATGTGCGTGTTGCTGCCGGCTGTACTGCCCTTTCAGGCCGCGGGGAACCTCCACGAGCTCGGCCGGACTGGCACCGCGCCCGCTGCCATCGCTTCGGGGCTTCGAAGCACCGGCAGCGCAGATGCCTTTCTCGGGCTCGGCGCCGGCTGTGCCGGCTGTGGCGGCTGTGCCGGCCGGTCTGCCGGGTCTCTGCCTTCCTGGCGCTCCCAGAGCTCGTTCACCGAGCCCCTTTTGGGATCTATCGGCACCCCGCCCGCTCCAAGAGCTTGGGGTCAAGAACGACATAAATGAAACAGTGCTGAGGGCTGTGTCAAGGCTTTCTGATACAGAACTGCAGCTTCGTTCTCTATCGGGCAGTGAGGAGGAGCAGCTGCAGCAACTGCGTGCAAGACACCAGCAGAATTTGGAAAGCCTGGGCATGCTACAAAAATCCATGCTGATCCCATCGGCGACGACCACAATTCCGGCAGCAGCGGCTTCAGATCCTGCACGCGAGAATCGCGAGCGCATTGCTTTGGAGGGCATTGGATCTACACCTTTGCTTGGCGTTTCAGCATTGCTGGACCTCGCAAATGCGAGCGCTTCGTTTCCAGAGAAGACTGGGGCTGGGCTGGGCCTGGGCGCTGGGCCCTTGCCGCCAGCTCTTGGGTCGTCTATTGGCCGTCCGAGTCCACCAGAAAGCCCGCAGCCCGAGGCACGGCCTCCGAATCTTCAGCTCGACGCCTTGAGTCAGACTGCTGGGCCATTGCCGCCGCCAAGCCCGTGGATGGCGGAAGCGGAAGGCTCTGAAAGCATCCCTGACCAGCTTGACGGCAGGGTGAGTGCCGATGACATGTGAGCACGACATTTAGCTTTGCAAGGTCGCCGTGTCACTTCGTTTGAGCTGGGTGTGCCTGCTTTTGGTGGGCTCGTCCAATGCCAGGTGGTGTGGGCAGCGGCTGGGCATCTGGCACTGGCAGGCCTCTTGAGCACCGGGCTTTGGCGCTGTAGGTCCCCTTCTTTAATGAATCGATCCGGTGAGGACAAACCAGCCGCAGCCGACTGAAGATGACTTGGCCCGTGTGTGAGTTAGGCAGCTGGGCTTACCGGGGACACAACTTGGACAAAGTCACAAGCATTTTGTCTTTCCGTCTTAGCTGTTGTGCGATGCACAGATGTACATTAGGGGTACTCCATGGCCGGGTGCTGAAATCAGGCAGCCGCCGCGTTAATGTCTCTTAGAAAAGGTGTCACGGAGAATCAGCCAGCGAGCTGCTGGCTCTCGATACCTTCAGCGTAGCTGCACGGCGCTGTGCGGCTCGACATGCGAACTGTCTCGGCAGGGTTAGGCACCAGCCAGCAAAGTCCAGATGTTAGATGCTGACAAGCTTTCAGCAATGGTCAGCAGCTGCCAATCAGACAAAACAGATCGGACAAGGTACCAGAGTGCACATCCTCACAATGCGGGAAGCTTCACTCACGGGACTCGGTGCTCATGGAGACTGTCCGCTGCTGCCTTCTTGCTCGAATGCTGTCCTTAGACGTCGTGCTGCTAAGGCATGCATGACCTGACAAGTTTAGTGTGGAACGCCTTAACGATGTCCGTGTTTGCGTCCCTGGACGGTTGTGGAGACCAGGCTCGCACTTCATTCTCCACAAGCGTTCTTCGTTCTGCTCAGCCACGAAATTTTAGAGCGTTCAGGATGGCGTGAAGCCTGCGTGAACGGTTGCAATCGAATTACACGTGCTGCTTGCGAATTGGCTTCAGTGCGGATACAGGGGATCGGGGTCGGGTACCGGACGCGTGCCTGAAGTGACCTTCTGCACACTGGACCCGCTCTCTGCTCCCACACGAAAGACTGCGCTTCGTGCAACTTCCTACCTTCTCAAACTCGGCCTGAAGCTTCCATTCCCTTGAAGAGTCTCTCAAACTTGGTGGGACCTTCTCTGCCGGTTGAGGTCTAGCGGGCCAAACCTCAGAAGCCGAAAGCGACGAGCTAGGGCACAGGAGCGGTTCTTCGCGCGGTATCGTTGGGTGGGTTGGCTTTAGAGTGTGGCACCACCAAGTCTCAGTAAACGCATGAGAGTGACTTCAGTGGTCGAGTTCCTTGTGGGAACCTGTCACGCAGGCATAGAGGCGCTGCAGAAGGCGATGACCTTTGCTAAGCCAGCCGCGTGTTTCGGTGCCCAAGTCGCTTCCTGGCTTCAGGATCTCTCGTATGGATGTGGAAGCTGACATCTCTGAGGATGGTCGTGGGTAGTGTTGCTCAGCTGCTTCGTCACACGTCCCTTGCCCGTGCTACGTTATCAGGACATTACAGACATCGGTGATGTGTCCGCGCAGTGTGCAGCACAGTGCCTGGAGGCGATGCTTCTATGGGACACATGCGCCAACACTGCAGCACTCTAGTGCGACCTGTTTGCGGCCTCGAGTTGGTAGGTGGAGGCACCGAAGCCATATGACCAGGAGCAGCCGACATTCAGAGGTTTCCCGAAAGGGCTGCTTGCGAGTGCCACAACTCAGGAGTACTGAAGCTTGGGCGGGATTTCGTAGGAGTATGTATGCAAAAAACTGTAGCATTTGCAGGCGTGCTCGGCTAGAATGCGATGTGGCCTCTTGTCCGATGCCAGGAGCTTTACCAGCTCTTATCCCACGCAGCTGAAAGTGGCGACCTGGAGAGCCTGCTGACGATCACAGCAGCGACCACAGTCTTCCTCCTTGCGACAGGTTGGAGGCCGCGAGCAGATGATGCCTTCAATCTGCCCAGGATACCCATCTTACGGAACTCAGCAGTATCAATGCGGTCTGCCTCTTACACTTAGCACCGGCTCGAATCATCTGTGGCAGCCTGGCATGCTCATGGCTACGCACAGAAACATGACCCTGCAGGCTTTCGCCCTGATACATGCAGCTCGGATGCTGCAGGCAAGTGTCGGCTTGCGCAAGTCTTGAGGACTTTGTTGGTGGCATAGGTGGGCAGCCCAAAACGAGATGGCCTTCGTTCTCCCAAGCTGGTCAATCTGATTCGACATGCCTGCAGCTCAGTAGCGAGCTGCACTTAGAGCGTTTTTTTGCGAGCCGTCTGATCAAAAGGTTGAAAACATCGTGATGGGACACCGCTTACAAGGCTCCCGCCTGTGCGAGTTGAGAGTTCCTTTGATCGTGTCTCAAATCTAATTCTTGGGGCATTGGCACGATATCATGTTGTGTGTACAAGTGCAAGGTGCGGTTGCGGCTGAAACCGGCGAGTCAGAGGTAGGGCCTGTTTTGAACGAGGATCCTTCGGGCAAGCTGTGCATTTTGAGTGCAGGACTCGTCATCCGAGGTGATGAAGGTCGAGGCGCGCTGGTCGAGCTGCAACACAACAAAGATTCTCGGCTTGCTCAGGACCAAGGCCTTCACATGGCTTGGACCGTTTCTGTGATTTGCTGGGGTCTGGGTCTTCTCGGTCGCTGGCCCAGCGGCAGGGGAGTTGCGGCCCGGGTGCAAACAAGATCCGAGATCCAAGGTCATAAGAATGACAAGCTTCTGTCGTGCTTAGCCAGGCCAGTCTGCTCCGCTTGCAGCGTGGTTGCGGTCCGATTTCATTTCTGATACTGGCAGCATGGTGAAGCCACTTCTGCCACACCTCAGTCCTCATCAGCTGCAGCGCCTTGGCCATCGAACGAACGACACTTTTGCTAGATGTCATTCCTGAAACATCGAGGAATTGCTTATGGGCTTTTGCGTCGTTGGAGATGAAGGATTCCGGGCCTTTTTTCGGGTCCAGCCCTGAGTCCTTCCTTTTTTGGTAAAGCAGTGATCCACCGCACAAGCCTCTTTCGTTTTTTGGCAGGGCGGCGGTCGAAATCATCGAACCTCGCAGCTCGGATCAACCTGCCTATGGCCAAGCCTTGTCGGTGCCTGCTCGCAGCTGTTCCCTCATTCAAGGCATCACGCTTTTCAGTCACGAGCGTCTTGGCCGAATGCAGCAGGGCCAGCTTCTGGAAAAGAGCAGATGCGGTCCAACATAAGAGCTTGCGGAGGCGGTTGTGCCTTTAGTTCGCAGCAAAGCTTATTGTCCTAGAACATCTCTGTGAACACTGTGGGTTTGTCGTTTTGGCTTTGGGCCTTGGATCGGTCATGGCTGCTCTCAACCACTGCACTCCAAAGGATGCAACGTCCCACTGACCTAAATCCAGAATCCTATTTCTCAGTGGGTTAGAAAGCTTAAACCCCAAGACCTGCGCCGATAACCAACTCTGTGCCACTATGGTTCTTGGTTTGGACTATAAGTTTTCGGGAGCCGGAACCCTTCACCTTCTCGAGGCTTCTCGAGTTGGCGCTTTGGGGCCTAAATTCCCCACGCCATCACTCCCAAAAGAAAAATTGAAATTCTGCAGCCCTAGAGCACCAAATCCCTTACAGCCTGCAAGCCAGAGAGACTCTAATACAAACCCTGCTGTTTGCCCCGCCCGAAAGAAGCAAAGCAACACAGAAAGCAACAGCTGTACGTACATACATACATACCTACGTACATACATACATACATACATACAGACAGACAGACAGACAGAGAGACAGACAGAGAGACAGAGAGACAGAGAGACAGACAGAGAGACAGACAGAGCGACAAACAGAGCGACAGACAGAGAGACAGACAGACAGACAGAGAGACAGACAGAGAGACAGACACAGACAGAGAGACAGACAGAGAGACACAGACAGACAGACACAGACAGACAGAGACAGACAGACAGACAGACAGCCAGACAGCCAGACAGCCAGACAGCCAGACAGCCAGACAGCCAGACAGCCAGCCAGACAGNNATATATATATATACGTACACATACATACACATGCTACAGTCTCTGAATAAATAGATACATGCAGGAAGACAGTTAAATGTATGAGACTACGTACCATACTGTAATCTAAACACACACACGCATAAACAGACATAGAAATTGAAATCGAGATGTACATACAAATACAAATGCAGACATGCACCCGTACATATACATAAACAATAGTATAAGAATAAACATAGGTATTGGTATCAGTACAAGCACACGCATCAGTATAGGTGGGTGCATAAATATGGGCATATGTATAAGAAAAGCCACAAGAACACGTATAAGCATAGGTACAAGTATAAGCACACATATAAGTAGAAGTACGATTGTAATTGCAAGTTTAAGCACAAGAATAAACATGCATATAAGTATAAATTTAAGTATACATCTGAGTCTAAGTATAAATAATGGGTGTAAGTATAGGTATCAGTATAGGTAGAAGCATAAAATACATGTATGTAAGCTACACATATAGATGAACGGATGATTGCAAACATACATATTGTGCACCTTGGCAGCCTTGAGTACATCATTTCTCAACCCTAGGCCCTAAATCCCAAGCCTTAAGCCCTCGACTTAAAACTCCTTCACCCCAAATCCTAAACCCGAAGTCTCTAAAACCGAAAGCTCTGAAGCCCTAAATCCTGAACCAACCGTTAAGGCTTAAGGCCTTTAGAACCCTGGAGCGAACACGGCAAGTCGAACCCGTACCCGATCAACTGCAAACCAGCACAGGAATCAGAAACTGCGCGTCAGAAACCAGCACGCATCGGATCCTGTGCATCGAAAACTGCGCATAAATCGGACCGCATCGGAAAACTAGAACACGTTGGAAACTGCGCATGGGAAACCCCTGATGCCTGATGACGTCCAGCCACCAGGGCATCCCGAATCACCCGTTCTTGTTTCCGAATCAGGCACGGTTTCCAATTATCAGCCCTTCTGGTTACAGATTTTTCCTTGACCTCCCGTGCCGCGGTTGTGAGCGAGAGATAAGGAGCCTGGTGGCCATCCTGACTTCTTTCGCAATGGTGAAGGCAAGCTTCCATTTTTGCGGCTTCGAGTTTGGTGCAGGAACTCCGACTCAGGTCTTGAGTGCGAATCTTTTCGATGCGGCTGCAAAGGTGCGCATGCCATTCAGTTCCTGTCTGTGACCACAGGCAACAGGAGTCTCACCGAAAATCTAAGGTGCTAGTGGAGGCTGGAGACACTCTTCGGCCTCAGGAGATGCAGCCTTGGGATTCCCAATTCCGGTCCATCCTTCTCTTCGGAGGACGTTGCCAATTGCACGTGGGCATTCGCAACTTTGCGGCATCCGCATCCAGAAATATTTTCAGGTGAGCTGCCCTGCTTGTGGGTACCTACGGGTCTCTGACGCGTTCTCCCGAAGTGCCAGGCTTGGGTGCCTCTGCAGCACGGAGGCTCCACGAGTTCCGCCCGGAGCAGGTTGGGTGATAACCCGTGTGGATCCGTTTGCTGCCTTTGTCAGTTCGGCTTGAAGCACCTCTGGACATATTCAGCAACGTCACAGTTTTTGGCCTCCAGATGACCAGCGTTAGAATCAGTGGCGGAGTTGCTCATGCCGGCACCCACGTCCCTGCATGAAAGCTAGTGACGAAGCGTAAGTCGGGTGTCTTTCGGTTGTCGCAGAAGACTTGACTCCAGTGCCAGTGTTTCCAACATGTTAAGCTTCCCCTTGTTCGGGCTAGCACCAAGGGCCTGAGGGCAGCTTTGATGTAGTTCCCTGTTGTTTGCCTGAGGGATAAGAGTACTGTGCCTATGTGATTAGGCAAGTCATGAGATTTCGCCGACGGACCGCGCAATCGAAGTTGAAAGACGGTCATCCCCGCGCGAGCCGTTTCCTTCCACCAGTTGTCCCGATCTTTGACTTCCATAGAAAGATTCAGATGGAGTGGCCGGAGGATGAGGGGAGGGGGATGTGTGGAAAAGGGGGCAATGCAGAGCTAGAGCCAGCTCCCAAGGCTTTGGAGGGTTTCTTTTTTGGAGTCCCTGAAGGTGGCTGTCTTGGTCTGGGCCTTCGCGCTGGTTCGATGGCGCCTGGAGAAGCTGTTTGAGGTGCAAGTGGTGAGGGAGCATGTCACATATCATCCAGCAAGCAGCGGCTTGTTCCGGCCAGGCAGTCCAGCATGATGTCGTGTTGGCCACAGCTGAAAGTTTATGCAGTAAATTGCTGCAGGAAGGGTCGGCGGCTGCCGCGTAGTAAAGTTCACCATGCGCTGCCTAGGTGGACCGATACACTCACTTCAGTCCCGACAGTCCCCCTGCCTCGTTTGAATGGGATGTTGTTGGAGACTGTGGCAGCAGAGTGTAGGATCACGGGAGTCATGCCTTTCAGTGTGAATGCAGCACTGCCAGGCCTGGCCAACGTTCTTCATTCCTTCACCTTGGTGGGTCATGACGGTGCACAAGTGATCCTGGAGGCCAGTCCCCTCGTCCGCACTGTTCGCCGCTGGTTTGCAACCGACGCAGAACCTAAGCAGCCAAGCTCCAAACTTCTCTGTCAGTGCTCAAAGAGCAGGCAAAGCGACAAATTTGATTTTTCTTACTTACACATGTTGAGATCGCTCTGAACAATTGCCACGTCCCAGCAGCACCCGAAAACAAAGGCAGGCTTGATGATAGTATTTAGCCCAGATATGCGACAGCTGACCCAGCGGAAGTGGCTTTCTGATTGATCCTGCTGTGGCTCATGGCCGGTGGGGATGCACACCCTGCACGGTATCTCGGCCAAAGTTGATCCGACAAGCCCTTAGCAGTTTGCCGGCATGACGATTCAGCATCACGCATGGCCTCGTTGCGCATGTTCTGCGAAGGTGTGCTATTGGTCGCACTGAGCAGCTGTCCGCACACTCTTGCACAGACGTGCAGGCCGCTGTGCTCGTTCGACTCGCAGTACACGCAAAGCTGCCAAGTTAGCCGCTGGTACACAACAGCCTTGCTAGAAAGGCTGCAGGGTGACGGCGTCTGGGGGCAGATTGCTGCCAAGAGCTTTTCATGTGAAAGCTTGAACGGCTCTGACTGCGAAAATGCCACATCGTGTCAAGTTTCTGGGGGTGGCTGTGCCGCTGACCGGGCTTGGATGGCAAGGAAGCTGGCTAGCCCTTTGTGGCAAGGCGGGGCGAGCTTGGGGGCAAAGTGTGGCCTGCTGGGTCAAGTGATGGCCGGGGAAGCCGAGTGTATGGAAATGGACGAGGATGCATGTGATTCGTACAATGGCACTGCTGGCTGCCTGTGGGATCCTGTGCGATCGTCCTGCGGCCTCCCACCTGCAGTGGTCCTTGCATTGCTGCGGCAGGAGATGCATTCAAAGTGCTGTTTCACTGACTGTATTTCTGCTGTGTGCTTGTGTTCACATCGGCAGAGCATGCTTGCAATGAGGACTTCCGTGATGAGCTCGTGCGGTTGGCTCTGCGACGAGAGCGCTGTGCATCCGTTGCATCTCAAGATCTGTGCAAAGGGTCTTGTTGGTGGGATGCCGCCGCAATGCGCTGCAATCTGTTGGCCGTGGAAGCTCTGCTGGCCGTCGTTGATGAAGATTGTCCGCTCAGGCAGGGCTTGGCTCCAGAAGTGGGGTCTCCAGTCGGAAGCAAAGCGCTGTTTCAGGACCGTGCTGAGCACACAAGCTGCTTGCACCGGCCTCGGTGTCGTTGGGTTCTTTGGTACATGTAGAGCAAGCACCGAAAGCCACATCCTGTGCTGCGGCGGGCAAATCCATGAATGTTCGATTCATTTTCCCTACTTTGGCCCTGATGCCAAACATCACTGCCAAGGTGACGAGCTTTCTGAAGAAAGCTGTCGGGCAGCAGCGTGGCAAAGTGGAACCCAAGACGCTCGGACTGAACGAAGACCGGCGCTTGAATGCGATCAGCATTCATTTTCCGTCGTTTCGTTGCTCATGCCCCTCAGATCGTCCACAAAGGACTGCATCTGGGTGAACGGTTGCCAAGCGAATCCTCGCACTCTGGAGATGGTGTTGCTCCGGCAGCTAGGACTAATGACCGCACAGATGGAGGACATCAGCCAATGATTGCATCTTGAGTCAACGCTACGGCCGCTACGGTCGTTTCATTCGAGTCATTGATTGAGTAGAATGTGTACAATGCTCCGGCAATGGCGGTTTAATGCTTGTTCATCACCTTACTCCGGTCTTGAGCCCCTGGCGAGCTTCAGCTGCAGGACTCCATGACGTCTTCCATGGCAACCTGCGGAAATTTGACAGACTGCGATGCCCAGACGCCTGTGTGAGGGCTCAGTTTTCCTTGTGACCACATGTCTTGGCACTCTTTACCATTCATCATTGCTTGCTTTACGACTGAGGCATTCTGCGTGGAAGACCTGCCGCCACTGCACGGGGCCGCGGTACAGCGGGCATCGAATGTTGCATTGCCTCTGTTGGTTCTGTGGGTGGTACATGCTGCAGGCCTTTCCGCTTAAAGTGCGGCAAGTCGTTCAGTGCAAAACTGTTTAATGGAGGCAGTGCCCCGGCCTTGTGCGAGTGCGAGCACAGCATTAGCTTCCGCAATCCTTCTCCGATGCAAGCATGAGTTTCACCGCTGTTTCACCGATGCTGTGGGCTTGTGCCACGAAAGCAGCTGAAAGACAGCATGGCTCCATTGCACGATTGATGTCGCTTGTCCGCTTTTGGCGTCTGCCTCCTTGTCCGTCGCTCTTCTCTGGCTGTCTTTTCCTCTCCTTGCTTACTTGCGCTACCTCGCTGCTGCCTTCCTGTCTGTCATTGTCTGTCCTTCCCTGCCTCTTCCCTCCCGCTCCGGACAGTTCTCACTAGTGAGTGTGACAGCTCTTCCGCTGTTGACAGGTGGCCGCACCACACATTGCGACTAACCTCTCAGAATACAAGTCGAAGGCACCGGACAGCGCCTTCAGCTATTGCTGTGCAACTTCCCTGTCAGTGTCGTGCATGGAGCTGTTGTGTCTTCCAGGCTCTTGCTAAGCTTGTCTTTGCGGCAACCAAGACGTCTGAACCTGCCCGGGGCACAGAATATGTTCAAGTCTGCGGTGTCTGTGGGCACCATCAGCTCGAGAGAATGAGCCGGTCTTCAGGTCAAGGGCGACTTGGTGGAGATCCTTGCGCAAGAATTCCTGCGGCGAGCGGATTCTATGTCAATGCCAATCGCCCGAGAAATCACAACATGCACAGCTGCGTCTTAAAGCACGCCTAGGCCCCTTCTAACTGCTATGCTGCTCGCGTTCTGGAAGGCCAATCCGCGCGATTGTGCCTAGATTTGTAGCCGTCGGCACCCGGATTGGAAAGACTGCTTTGAGGATCTGCCCTGGGATGTCAGGCGGATTTGAGCAACCCCGACTTTTTTCGTCAGGCTGCTTCCAAGGCACTGTCCGGTCAACCTCTCGCTTATCAGAGCATGTTTCATTTACCTATGTTATTTTGGGGGTTCCTTATTATAATGCTAGTGTTATAGTATAATGGGCCTCAAAACCCTATTCGAATTGTCATCGTGGTCATCAGGTGCGGGCCTGCTTGAAAGACTTCGAGACGTCTGGGTTCATACGACGCGGCCCAAAAAACGGTTTGTACTCGGCAGATTGGGGTGTCCTCTTAAGAAATGCTCAGGTCTGCTGAGGATCTTTGCAGCAGCTGGAGCCATGGAGCCCGCCTTTGTTCAGGACTCTTGCTAGCGTCTTGCCATGCCGCGGAATGGCAGTGTATCTGTTTCCAGGACATGGTTGATGAGGCCGTTGCCTTCGACTGATGCTGGCACCAAGACAAGCGTCTTGACCGATGCTGGCTGGTGCTAGTGTCTGTTGCAGGCACAGCGGCGCTTGCCAAGCCTCCGAGCGACAGAGCTTGTCAATCTGGCGAAGCTCGCCCCTGAGCATCGCAAACACTGTGAGATGCGCTTTGCCTCGCAAGAAGCGGGTTGAACTCGTGTGGCTCTGAGGACCTTGCTTCAGATTGGGCAAGCTTCGCCCTTTCTCTTGGAAAACTTGGCGGGGAGCCAAGCTCCTTTGCCAGTTGTCTGCCGAGTGAGCCGTGCCGCGAGGCAGAGCATGGGGACAAAGTCCTTCCGCAGATGTCCCAGAAGGAAAGCGCTGCTGGGCTCGATGCGTCATTCTGCGTGATGCGCATGCGGCCGCATGCCCTCGGCGCTTTTTCTACTCCTCCTCCTCGTCCTCGTCCTCCTTTTCTGTCGGAGGAGCTCACGAGCTTCCTGCGATCGCTGAGTGGCCTTGGCCTGACCTCGGCCTCTTCGAGCGGCGAGGCGTCAAGAGCCCGGCTCTTCGCCGCCGCTTCGAGCTTTGTTTGAGAGCGGGTCCCCGGCTTTTCTCTGCACCGGGCAGGCCTTGTTCAGGCAGGCGGCCTCCAAGGCGCAGAGTTCTGACTCTCAGCCTCGTCAAATCGCATGTCGGAGCTCGAGGCAACTCGGCAGCTCCTGAGAAGCAAGGATGCAACAGATGGCAACAGATGCAGTGCTCTTGAAGTTGCAGAAGTTTCGAGAGCGATCTGTCTCACGTGTGAAGGACGATCGTCGGTACTCTCTGAAGTCTTCTGATCTTGCTTGCTTGTCCAGAGTCTTTGCCGGATGCTTAGTCTGCAGCTTTAGGAAGGACGCGCCCTTCCATCGCGATCGCAGTGTTTGGTGCCCTTTTTGTTCAGGCCCGCGCAGCAGCTGCCACTGGTCCGCTCACGGACAAGTATCAGGTCGACTCGCAGGATGGCGCCGGCTGAAGCTGCCTGTGGTGCCAGCATCCCGCACGGAGGCATCGGCAGAGACCCCGGCCGAGCTTCGGGAGGCCTCCATATCCCCTATCCGGCAGAGATTTGCACTCTTCCCGATGTCTTCCGAGCCTCCAGCAGGCCATCAACACCTTCTTGCAAGCAGCAGTGGAGGAGGTGAGAGATGTGTTCTTGAAGTTCTTATCTCTCTTTGCCTGCAAAATGTAGACAATGCCGTCTGACGAAAGCGCTGCCTCTCGGTGGTGCAACGAAACGTACGTTTCCAGCACAAGCGGTTTCATGCATTTGAGCTGCTCGGCATTGCAAGTGGTCTTGCACGGTGGGGCACGTGTGCAGATGGGCGCGACTATGTTTCCCTTGCAGGCACGGCAGCGATTGGATGAGTTTCAAGCTTCGCCTGCTTGTTTGGTGGGGGTGCTGCCGACCTGTTTTCCAGCCCAATCACGTATCCTAAACCTAAGGTCCTAAAGAGCCTTTCCCTACCAACGCCTTTGGCCTTGGTACGGCTTGAGCCTTTGGCAGGTGCTTTGGGCTGCCTCCGAGTGCAAAGTGGAATGCGAGTCGCTCATGCAGGTGTGCTTGAAGGACTTAGTGGTACTTGTGGTGTTCTTGCTTCCTGCTGTTCCTACGTGCTTCAAGCAGTATTTGGGTCAGTGCCCTTTGCAAAAACACGGAGCTCACTTGAAAGACATCCTTGTTTCAGCCCGCTTGGTCCTCGTGAAAGCACTAGCCAGCCCCTCGCCTGTGGCGGTACTGGTGCCGACGCTAGGTCAACTGAAGAGTGATGTGCAGAGTTTGCAAACGACTGTCGAGAGTCCTCAAAGAGTATGCCAGACATCATGGCAATTGTGGTTGGCGTTGTGGAATGATGCACGTCTTTCTTGTGTGGGTCATCATGCATCTTGTGGCCTCAATGAGATACTTGTCGAGTTTTTGCGATCTTGCCACTGTTGCGGTCGATCTTGGAATGACCCGTTCAAGTTTGCCTTGCCGTGGTGTAGTTCCATTTTCTGGTGCAGGCGACGATCGCCGTGCTTCTGCCGTCTGATGCGGGAGGTCAGCCGGCGGTATGTCAGATGCAGCCGCGGTAGCTAAGGATCATCGTGTCACTAAGCCCTGTGTTACTCCCATGGATCAATGGTACCAGGATGCATCGACATTCAATTAAGTACTTGTTTTGAACGTCGTGGCCGCAGGTTGTGACAACAATCTTCAGAGACTCCAGCTGCCCGAACTGGCGGAACTGGCAAAGGCGCCTCGACTTCGCGATGCCAGTTCCGTTGCTAGCCATGCCAGTCGTCCTGAGGCGCTCACCCACCTGGGCGTGGAGCAAGTGGAGTTGTACAAAGCACTGGCCGACGTTGCAGTAGCGTGCATGCAGGCACAGGGTTGGGCAATCATGCCCGGACAGCCTCAGAACAGACAGCATGGTTCATCATGATCATATGGCCCTGGCAGGAAACCAACAACGCCCAACGCTTAGCATTCACAACTGGCGTCTTGCATCCAAGCTCTGCGACACCGCGCTCCCAGAGAGCTATCCGCCACGTATCCACAGCCCTCACCTGATTTCTTCCATGACTCAAGTTTTCCGGCTTCACTTGTCAGGGCCCTGCCAAGCCTCCGCGGTCACGAGGCTCAGAACTAAGCGCAGCCGTCTCCGATCGGCTAAGAATCAGCTTGTACATGGCTTCAAACTGATTATCGCCGATGACATCGAACATCAACACACTAGTAAACTAGTAGCAACACTGGACGTTGCACTCGCTGCTGGTATCAGGATAGCTGTAAGTAAGCCCTAAGAGTCTCAGAGCAACTTGTGAGGCGGCACAGGAGGAGTTTACATCATCCAGGATGTGTCTGGAGTTTTGCTCGGTGATCCGAGAGTAGGCACCAGAATGAGCCACAAAGTTTGGTCCGGAAGTAAGCAAAGCCGCTCACAGCGCATCATTAAGCGACTGCTTCCGCACGAGAGCTCGTGCGGGGTGGAATTTCTGTTGCCTTTACGAGTGGGTGAAGAGGTGAGCTTGTCTGGCACCGTTGAAGTTCGAGTCTTGCGAGGCTGCGTCGAGATATGGGGGGCCAGTCTCTTGCCATCGAAGAGATTCCGGCGTCTTGTGGTTCCCCCTTGGTGTTCCACGCCTCGGATACGGGCCGTGCGTGGCAAATCTTTGGGCTCTCGACAGGTCGATGCGTCTGCAGAGGCGCAGAATGTGCAAGACTTCTTGGCAGGTCACCGATGGCCTGTCGTCCTGTGCCTAAAACTCTGCAGAGAGTCGCAGGACACACTGAACGCAGAACTTGCTGCTCCACGCATGCGGGCTGTGCTCACGTCTCCTTCAGATCATCCACGTTTGACGGCTCACCGTGCATGGCCGAGCATACTGCAGCACTTCCTGGTCGAGTGCGTTCATTGCTACAGTGAGAAGCCTCCAGTCTTGTTGGTGATGGGTCCGAAAGGAGTCGGAAAGTCCACCTGCTGCCGGTACTTCGTGAACTCCTTGCTGTCGGAGTGCCCGGAAGTTTATTTTCTGGAGACTGACTTAGGTCAGCCGGAGCTGGGCCCTCCCGGTGTTGTGACGTTGCATCGCATCACCCAGCCACTGTTGCAAGTGCCACATGCAGAGCAACACCACCACCAACGCCTCGCCGCTTTCTTTGCAGGCGCCGTCACGCCCTCCACGCACCCCGAGCTTTTTGTTGCATCAGTTGCTGCTGCCTTCAACTCTTACATCGAAGCTCAGCAGGGTGTTGTCCGGCCTGCGCCCTTGATGGTGAACTCCCATGGCTGGACCACTGGACTGGGTTTGGAACTGGTGCAACAGGTCGTTGCAATCTCGAGGGCGCAGCTCGTCTTGCGGCTGAAGCCCTCGGAGCCTTCCCGGCTGAAGCGGCCTGCAGAGGATCCCGCAGCTGAAGCCTGCAAGGACGTCCCCAAGGACGAGCCGAAGCCCCGCCGCACCTCTCTGGCCCGCTGCGGGCCCCTCGCGCGTGCCTTCGGCCGCTTCCAGAAACCCTCCGGAGCCGACGATGCGCTGGTGCTGGTGGACGTGGAGTCTGCGGCCAAAGGTGCCGGAGCTTCCCCCACAGCCGCGCAGCTGAGATGGCTTCGGATCGCAGGACACTTCCAGCCGAATCTCGACCCATGCCTCGCACCGCATGCAGTGGCTCCGCAGACCTTCTTTTCGATGGTGCCCCGCTGGCGGCTGCAGATGAAAGGGCTGCGCTTCGGTCTTATTGCTGGACATTTGCTTCACTCAGAGGTTGAAGCGGCGCTGACAGGCACGGTAGTTGCCCTGTGTTCCCAGCCGCAATCAGAGGAGTCCCAACAGGTTGAGGTCCGCTCATCGGAGGATCTGGGTTTGTTGGAGCCACACGAGGCACCAATTGAATTTGTGGCATACGCATTTGTGCACTCATTTGACTTTCGTGTGGGGCAGATCGTAGTGCATTCTTGTTTATCAGAGTCAGCAGCAGGGAGTGTCAACCTCATACTACGAGGCGAGATCGCTTGGGAAGCGAACAGCACTCGGAATCTTAGGCTCGGGGATGGGAGTCCGAGCCCCATGCAGCCCTATGCTGCCCCGTGGTTTCTTGAAGGCATGGGTGTCGGAAGCAGGGTCGTGAGCACGAGAGGCAATATCCGCCGGCGAAAGCTGCGGACACTCTGAGTCTCTGCAGCGCTGACCAGAAAGAAGCGCGAGGGTTGCACTTCTTGTGCTCATTCCTTGGACTGCAACTGCATGTTGATCTCAGCTGGAGTCCGGAGAGGACAAGGGTGCTTGGCATGCCATGCAAGGTAGGGCCTCCAGAAGAGCACCTTGTTCCTGCCGCCGAACTCCTCAGCCTTCTGGCGACAGTCGGGTGCGACGGCAGTTGCCTGCTGCTCGAGTTCGGCAGCACAAGCTCTTCTGCCCTGGGTGTCCAGGATTTCGGCGTCAGTGCTTGCATCCACTGCGGCAGACAAAGCGAGGCGCTTAGCAGCGCGGCGGTCAGCTGCACAGCGCCTGTACGCTTCGACGCAGCACTGGCACATCGCCTGTCTGCCTGAGGTTCTTTCAGTGTTGGACCAAGCCGACACTGGGGAGATCAAGCTCCCTGCATGGCTCTCAGACTCTCAGGGGAAGATATTCATGAAGACACGTAGGCGGTTTCTATCTGAGCCGCAGACTCCCCTTGAGGCTTGGGTCATTGCACGTTGCATCGCTGGGCTCGCTCTTTCCGTCCCGGACGGGGCCTTGGACCCAAGTTAGAGAGTTAGAGCCTAGTTGAGCAGTCTTGCTTAGCACGCCACGCATGCTTCTTACCGGAAAGCGTCGCACGCCAGGTGGGTCGAATTCTCGGGGCATTGAAGCTCCTGGCTCGTGCTGCGACGGCACGGGCGGTCGAGCTCCTTCCGGAGGCGATGCATTGCCCTGCAGTGCCTTACAGGTCTCGTTCGAGCACGGCGGCAAATCATCGATGGTTTTTGGTGCCCAGATGTTTCATAATCTAACACGTGACGTTCGGTACTCGTCAGCCGGGCACTGGAGATGCTTCCCCTACGTTTTCGAAACCTCTTCCTTGCATGCAGTGTGCACAGCGACCGTCAAAGAAAGACAACCGTTTCTTGCGCAAAGAAACGAACCCAGCCCGTGTAAAGCAAGTGTGGCTTGTACAGCAGTACCAAGGATATTCCCCTATTCCTTGGGAGACGAAAGTGGAACGGACGACCTTGCACAGGCGATGGCTGCAGACGTCGGGCTGAGGAAATGGCTGGACCTCAAAACGAGGGTCTGGGGCAAGAACACCGGCACAGCTCAGTCAGACGGGTTGGCAGGAGAAGTAAGTCAAAGCATCAACGCTGGAAATTCCAAAAAAGACCTTGATCGGTTGATGGGAAGCACTAGAGCGTCCTGTCGGTTCTTTCGAAGAGGATGGCCGGAGCATGATTCCTCTGTTCTGTGATCGTCTGCGCTGAATATGGAAGCTCAAAACAACTTCAATCCGCAATCCACACTTGCATTCGAACGCTTCGAGCCAAACGCCTCAGAGCAGCCACACAGCACAAAGGCCCCAAGAGCGAATTCGAAACCCTGTCTGCGGTACACCTGCTGCGTACTGACGGGATGCTCTACAAAGTGCTGGTGTCTGCTGACCAGGAACGTGCCTTGATTTTCTGGAGCCTAAGCTTGCAGGGCTGCTACGAGGCCACGGGCGCTCGCTTTCTTTCGCACCCTGTATGACATCACAGTCTCATGGGTTATCGCCAGGAGTTCTTTGAAGCAGTTTTGGAGCAGACACCATGGTTGCATCCCCAGCTCTCCAGTTACAGCTAGGGACTCCTGTTGTAGCATTCTGGCAGGACTCTGTGGGCACCGAAGTTGCAGGCGCTAGATCGTTTCCACAGATCAGCCTCAGATGCCTTCCATGTGCATATCACATGTCAGTGTTGTATCCATGTTGAGGACGAGCTGGTTATCAGCGGAAATGGGTATGTTCCGTCACCAAAACTCGTGGCCTTGTGCCAGGCTGCCTTCCTGATCAGTCAAACTCCGCTCGTATGATTGTGGCGCTTTCGATCCGTTCGACCGACCACTTTGCCTGCGAGGTTCATCTTGCTGATCTGGCCTTGCGCATTGAAGGCGGAGGCAATGTTGCATCATCTCCACGACTTGCATCACTCTGGCCCCACCCCTCCCCTCCAAGGAGATCGAGCGGGTCTTTCTGCGGCGCAGAGGACTTCGCAAAAGGAACCTGAGCGTTATTTTTGCCGGCCCATGATGGGAGGAGCCATGTTGTGGAAGCTGCCCAAGTCATGGCGCGCATACGGCCCGAGATACCGGCAGAGGCACATCTTGGAATTAAGCTATATTGTACTCTATTAGAATATGGTATTGGTATTATGTTATGTTTTAGATTTTAAATATGATTGTACATGGTTTGTTCTGCCCTGAAATCGCTCCTCTTCGAGGCAGAGCCCATCTCCCAAGCACTGATTTCCATGGACCTGCTGCCATCACTCGGAAGCAGTACGCCAGAAGGCCGGGACCTCCAGTGTTGTGGGACCCACAGTTCGTTGCTTAACGTTGGGGCTCTTTGTCTCTGACAAAAGTTATTCTATCACGCTGTGTCCGTACTCGTCGAGATGTCGACAGGCCCAAGGACGTCGGAAAAACATTCTGCACATTCAAGTGGCAGTCTGGTTTGGACACAAACAGCCGTTTTGAAGGGATGCAGTTACCTTAAGCGCTGTTGCTGCGTATCATCGCACATGAGAGGGCTGGAGTCATGTGCGCTGTCAGCCATGGAGAGGAGGGTTTCTTGTCACTTTGCCTGCAGATAACTGGTATGGGCAAGGTTCAGGGCTTTGCCTTGAAGAGGCAGCCTTCCCGGCCATCCAGTCAGGCCCTCCTCGGGCGCAGTGTACTCCAAGCGCCACTGCAAAGCCGTGCGGCCTCCGAAGCTTCTTTGCCTCAGCCAAAGCGATTCTCCACACGAATCCGCTGGAACATGGGGCCTTGCCAGCACGGGACCTGGCTGTCGGCTCTTCGAAAGGCCGGCTTGGAGGGGGAGTTCTGCAATCTGATGCAGTGGAGAGGCTTTCAATTTGGCTCAAAGCGGGTCACCATCAAGATGAAGGACTTCTGCCACGACAAATACGAGCTGGCAAGAGAGCTCTTGCAAAGCCCCTCGTTGTCGGGCACTATGCCTGAAACGTATTTGAGTGTGGAGGAGTTTGTCGCTTCCAGAAGAAACTTAGAAGGTCTTTGGTTTCTGAAGTTGTCCGATGTCGACTACGGGTGCGGAGTCCGTCCGTTTCAAGGCCCGAAGACAGAAGAAGAGCTTCATGATCTGCTTGAACTTGCCTTTCTTGAGGCTTCTCAGTCTGTCACGGCTCTGCGGAAAGCCAAGGGCTGCAAACCACGACAGGTTGGCCGGCAGATCGTCATCCAACGGGCAGTAGAGTCTCCTCTTTCCTCCGATGGGCATAAGGAGGACTTCCGTGTCTACGTATGTTGCACTGCATCCCACAGCCCACGAAAGATCTTCGTTTATCAGAAGATCGGAGTCCGGAAGGCGCCGAAACCAACGAATCCGATGCATGGTTTGAGCCGAGCTAGCCATTGCACCCACTACGGACGCATTACGCCAGCGGCCTCGTCCACGGACTATCACCATTATGATGTCATCTTTCCCAAGCTGTGCGCAAGCATTGCGCAAGTAATGCAGCATTTTAGTCCGAATCTGGAAGACGGCTCTGCAGTCCTTCTTGGCATGGATTTTATTTGTGACGAAAGCCTGAAGCCTTGGCTGTTGGAGATAAACCAAGTACCGCGCCTCTGCTACGACGACCCTCACGTTCAAGCTTGGACTGAAAGCATGGCCATGGATTTCATACAGCTGGTAGTCCTTCCAGAATTCGGTCAGAAAGAGAAGCGCCAAACATTGTGGTCACTGGTTTAGAGGCCTCATGTCGTTTCACAAACAGGCAGTTGTACCAAGCGCCCGATGAGGGCTCTCTGCTTTCAGCCTCCGTTCAATGCTGATTCATGGCCCCGATGCACTCAATACAGTCCATGGGCTTGAACTGCATCAGACTGACAGTGGCCAGTCGATGCACTGTACATAGGCGAGCCAGGCTTGCAAATGCTGTTACCCTGAGTTGAAGAGAGATTCGGGGGTGAGATGAGTTTGCGAAGAAGAGCCCGTAAAAAGGGTTCGGCAGCACGCGCATCGGCAGTGGCGACATCGCAGAATGCGCGGGGTTTGGGCCAATGGCATGTAAGACCTTGTAAGACAGTGAAGAGCCCCCGTGGTTCACCTCCTACTTGCCTGCGACAGAACGTGCCCACGTGAGGTTTGCCCTTGAGCATTCGGGTCAGCTCTTCGTCTATCCGGCCCTTTCCTCAAGTTATCACGTTTCGGCAACGGTGGCGTGAGAGATGCGAGTCCTCTGACCAGTTTTTGTCAGGGGTTCGGCTGCGTCGACTGTGTCCATCGAGGCACAGGGCCACTGGGCCCCACTTTGTCGCTCGTTGCAACCACCATCACCCCCGATCTGGGCATAGCACGCGCCCAAAATAGTGTGTCTAAAGAGTTTAATGCGTCATGCGGTTAAGGTTACGAATGGTTAAGAAGCTACCTAGCTACAAGAGGAGTGTTTTTAAGCATACACCTTGTTGCGTGTAGGTGGATCGCCCTGGAGACCTGCTCTTCGACATCGACTCGGGGAAAGCACATCGTGACCCGCCTGTAACGGCAGTGCTCCGAAGTTGCGCAACATGTTGCAACCGAGGCTTTTTGCCTACTGCATTGAGAAGACGCTTGCTTTGGTGTTTGGGTGCCGCGCCTGATCAACGGTGTCTAGGGCCAGACTTGGCGCAGCGCGAATTCTGTTTGTGTGGAAGACAAGGCTACACCGTGGTGGTTCTGCCCTGGTATGAGGTCTGGATATTGCAGGACCGCGATCAGACATAGGACTGTCCATGTCGAGACTCAGCAGGTCAACTGCGACAATGAGCAGCTGGTAGCTCGCCTGCGTGCGAGACTGGCTGAGGCACGGAGGAAGTACTGTAGAGTTGAAGGTAGGGCTGAAGAAGCTGCAAGGTGTCGCCACCACGACCACGCTTCATTTCCGATCGAGGCATGCTGCAGCTCTTGCTCAGAAAGAGTCGCTCTACCCACAAACGGCTGGCATTCCAAGGTGGGCAGTCCAAGCTGCATGAGGCTGATGAAAGAAATCGGGTGAGCAGCGCTGAGGCCGGAACCCTTCAGAAACGCAGCCGTTCAGTCCCTGCAGTCCCTTCAGTCCCTTCAGTCCCTGCAGTCCCTGCAGTTGCAAAGCCCCGCTTAAACCCGGCCTGAAGGCCAGCGGGAACAGCAGCTCCAGCGGCCTGGCAATCGTTGCGAGTTCGTAGGCGATAGGGTGGTTTTCGGCACCTTCCGTCGTTTGTTTCGGTTTAAGATTCTGCATTGACTGCTGTTGGAGTTACTGCAATCGTGGACGATCTCCTAAATTTGTTGCTGCGTCCTTGTTTCAAGTAGTCGAGGTGTTTACAGAGTGGCATTTCGACGCACCGACCGGCGCACGTGCACAAGTTCTCCAACTACAATTTTCAAGCGGCATTGCCTTGCAACTGTCACGGCGTTCTGCTAGGGTTTTCCGGGTTTAGCGAAGGTTTTCCGGGTTTAGCGGAGATTGCTGAAAGGGAAAGAAAAATCAACTAAAGTCCAGATCCTTGGGAGAATGCATGGCATCAGGGGATACGTCTTGGGTCTGCGATCGAGGTGTGTCTTCCTGGCAAGCGATGAGGCAGGGGCCTGGTCTTGATCCTAGGGCAGAAGGAGGTGCCTTGCTGGTGAAAGGCCCAGTCTTAGGACTGACACTTCCGGCTCAAAGTGAAGTCAGCAGCATTATATTTCGCGCTTCCTTCTGGAGTCCTAGCTGCTGATGTTCGCACATGTCAAAAGAACACATCTTTGATAGCTTCGATGATGTTGCGGCGCTTTCCGGAGAAATCGAAGCAGCGCTGGACTTCGTGGCGCAACAGCCGCAGCAACTGAGCTCGTATGCGCCGCGGGCATTGACTTGCGTTGCTCTCGCAGCAGTCAGCACCCGAAGCATCAATTGGGATGTTCTGAATGCAGCATGTTTCGAGATACTCAGGAAGGGCTTGCGACATGTGTCTGCAGCCTCTCTGACTCGGCTGTGCTGGGTGTTGGCATGTGCGGAGCACCGTGACGAAGTTTTGTTGGCTACCATCGGTGAGGAGCTTGCTGAGCGTCCGTCTGACTTTACTGCGGATGAATTGGTTAAGTGTGTTTATGCCTACTCCGAGCTCAATGTGTTTCACGAAGCAATGTTGGCAGCTGCCACGGTAGAGCTAATGTGGAGGATCGACCAGTTGTGTGCACGAAGTTTGGCACATTTTGCAGTCGCACTGGCTCGCCTGGAATACTACAAACAGCCAGTCTTCGACTGGCTTGCGAACTGCCTTTGCCGGAGACCCGACCGCACGTTGGATGACGTTTCTTCCGCAGTGTGGGCTTTCGCAAAGGCTTCCGTGCCACACGCAAGACTGTGCGAGGTAGCTGCTCAAGATGCGTCGAGCGCAGACGCAGAGACGTTAAGCGAAGAGCAGCATGCAAGACTAATGTGGGCGTTTGGAAAGCCAAACTTGGAATCGTCGGCGGTCGGACTGCCGAGACCTTTGTTCCATCTCGGGCTGGCAAATGCTCAGCTGGTGTGCAAAGACATGACTCCGAAGGATGCATAGCAAAATGTTGTGGAGACTGCACGCCTGCACCGCTAGCCGGGAGCTTTAAGTTTCGGCCGCAGTCGATTCAGGGACAGCAAGAGAAAGCATTTCGTTGCTGCTTTGGTCTTGCATCCTGCCGCGAGGCCACCTCCCGGGCTCTGAAGGCTCTGAAGCTCTGCCAGGCCGTTGCCCTTTCAAGTTCTAAGTAATGCGACTGAATGATCTGTTGCTGCTGGCCTTGCAATTGTTCGCGAGGCCTGACGGGTCGCCGGATGGACCTGAGGCTAGAGGGGCGGCGGGGGGGCATGTGCGGCATGTTCTGGGCCCTGGGACTGTAATGCCAGCGTGGCACGTTCATGCGGCTCAGTGCTGCATCTCGCAAAAACAAGTCGACATGCCAACAGCGCAGCAGTTCACATAGAACGATCGGCAGTTCAGCTTTCTACACGGGAGTGGCTTGCAGGTGATAGCAGATGCCACCTGCATGTGCGTTGTATCTTGCTTTGGCCGAGCTTCTCTGATGGCATGTCAAGAACTCGCGCCGTATTGCAGGTGGAAGAGGTTTGCTCCGGCGGTCGCCACATCGAAGCGACAGATTGCGGTTGCGTCCCACTCGCAACGAGCGCCACCGTGCAGACTGGCTTTGCGGACAGTTTTTTGTTGAAGCCCTGTGCGGACTATCCACGGCAGCAATAGAAACACTAGCCTATTCTTTTCAGTTCGAAGTCCCACTGCAGGCTTGCCAAGCAAGCCTTAGGCAGTGGCAACTTTAGAGGCATGTCTGCGAATGCGTGCTGCATTCTAGGCGACGGCCACTAGTACCATAGATTTTGACACAAAGGGCTGGCAAACCAGGGCAATCCGCCTTGAGACTTGCCAAAGCCTCCCCGTGTACCGTAGCCTTAAATTTTTATATGGCTGACATGTCTGTCTGAAGGCATTGATGCATTCGATAATGACCTTGTTAATGACCGAAGATCGCAAGAGCCTCTGGCAGTTGCTATGGCCCGGTGCTAGCACAGGCTGCTGCCAGGAGAGCTTTCTCCTACGTTGGAGGCAGCGAAAAAGAAGGGCCAAGATGCAGTCTGTACGTCTGATGCAACAATTCGTGAGAGAATTGCTGGAACTTCGCCTGGCATCGGAACGCTTCAAGATAGTCGCCACAGCAAAACCTAGCGACTCAGCGGTTTTACAGAAGAAGCACCTCCTGTGAACCCGTGAGCTGAAGGCAACAGCATATGGTTTCAATCAACACTGGACTGTGACTACCCACTTTGACATGTTCCTGTCGTCAGCTGCGCGAAACCATGTGGTCGGATGCACGGACTCAGGGCTGGCTTGAGCGATTGATGCAGCAGAGCTTTGCATCATATAGTCGTACGTCATATACCAGATGAGTTTTCATTATAACATCTGTTCGGTTGCCAGCCGTTGCTTCATGAGGCATCACTCGCGACGCATGCATCCAGCCTGAGGGTGAAATTCTGCTCAACACCTCCCCTCAGGTTGATGCATGCATTGGGACTGGCGGCAGTTGTCCTACCGGCGTCAGGAAACGACAGGGGATATATCATCAGCAGCTTTCGCACTTCTCGAATCCGGCAAGCCATGTTTGGTTCAGGAGACTTGCGCTTTCCTGACTATGTCCTGGACTGAGAGTTGTGATAAGCAACTGCTTGTTTGCACGGAAAGCTGAGCCCTTCCATCACTTCAAGACGAAGGGAAGCAGAATCTTCTACACAAACTCTGCCCGATGCGGCTTTCAGGTATCTGACTTCGCAGAATCGGAAGGATGTCTTCCGAGCATCTCAGAAGAGGCAGGGCTTGTTCACCTTCAAGCCTTGCAGCTCAGAACTCTTCACCGCAACTCGATTGGCAGTGGAGAGAATCCCTCTGCCTGAAACTTTTGCGTTCCAGACCGAGCCGATTTACATGTCGACGGAGCTGGAATCCGTCTTGAAAGAAGCCGCAAATGGTTCTGGTATCGTCGTCGAGTGCTCGGCGATTGTGATACTTGCAAGCATTGGCATGACAGTGTCCCAAAAGTCAGGTGTTTAGCGTGTTTGTGAAGACTGGAGACAGGCAGGAGGCAGCAATCTGCCAGCAAAGAGCCTGCGTCGGCAGCGTGCCTGCAACCTTCCAGAGGAGTCCGCCTTTGCGGCACAGCTGAAGCATTGGATGTGCCGTGCGAGGTGCGGTAATGAAGCCATGAAGGCTTGAGGTGACTGTGGTGTCCTCAACAGGTCGGTCTTTGGCCGGGGCTTCTTGGTTTTCGTGGATTCGGAGAGATCTAGACAACGCTGGCAAGGCGACTAGGTTCTTAGACGCCTCAGGCTGTTGCAGAAAGCATTCTCCGTCAGGCGAATATGGTGTAACGCCGTTCTTCTCCCAGTCGTGGATCGAGGTGCCGATCGAGACAAAGAAGAGTGGGCTCTGTTTACACATGCGGTTCAGGAAGAGCTAGCTGAGACTAAGACCGGGCTTGTCCGGCAGTGCTGCTGCAGGCGTCCTTCGCAGGTCCTGCTCGGGAAGAGATCCACGACTCCAATTATTGGCGTAGGGGCCCAAGGTGGAGCTTCGCACAAACATGCATGGCAGTTGATAGCTCACTTAGGTTGGGCCGCGCAGTGGTCTTAGTTGATGTGGTGTCAAGCAACACCGAAGTTAACGGCGGGCTCAGGATGGAGTCTATACTTCGTGCCGGATACATGGCTCTCTATGTTGACACTGCACCACGGCCGCACATCTTGGACACGAACAGGAGCGAGCACTGGCATTTCCACAAACCACACAAGCTACCCCGTGAGTACTGAGAGAGTTTCTCGGCCGGAGCGGCTTAAATGCTGAAAAGTTTGCTTCAGACAGGGGAACAACAGCAAATAGAAGGTTCTGGGAGTCGATGTCATGAATACGCCGTCTCGGAGGGAGACGTCGGAGGCGTGAAGCCAGCTTATGACCACGGTGATGCCCCTGATGTCCTATGTTGCTCGGTGCTTCTTCGTAAGATTCGAGGTCTGGCCTTGTATTGAGGGTGTGATAGTTTCGCACAGTTGTGGGCATTGTCTTCAAGATGGAATCTGAACAAGCTGCTCTGAGATGCTCTGAGTGTATACACCGCGAGATGTGAGCTTCTTTTGCGCCGGTGTTCGCTTCGTAGCTCCTGCGCGAATGAAGCAAGATGAAGCAAGGACATACTGTGGCTGGAGGATCCGCGACCACTTCTCGTGTCACTTCCTGGCGATGTCGATTTCTTTGGTCTCATGGCACAAACGGCCGTTTCACGAATTCTTCAAGTCAAACCTAGCGGCGAAACCGAGGCTCCTGCGATGCATATAACGGCAGCAGTGGCAGCATCAGGCGCTGTTTGCCAAGACCTTGAATATTTTGTTTGCCGGTTCCAGAAAGCCAGGTGGGTCAAGGATGGATCTTTGGACATCGAGTACTTGCGTGAGGCAGAGCTGGTTTGGAGGCCTCCCATGGTGGTGACATGGCGATGTCCACTGCGCAGGAGTCCCGCAAACACGATGACGAGTCCGTTTGTTGTCAACAAGGGCTAGTGCCGGTCAACGCTGGAGTCATCTTTATGAGGCTCACAGTCTGCTGCGCACGAAGTCGACCGAGCTCCATGCAAGGTATAAGATATGAGACAGCTTGTTCTCTTCAGGTCGAGTGCCGGTGCTGTCAGTGCCGTCGAGCGCTTCCGCAAACGCATCATTTCAGGGCCCTGCTGGGGCCAGGCAGCAATGCAACTTGAATATTGCTGGGCCGAACTATCTTATGCCGGCTTCAGCCCGCAGAATCCAAGGCATTGGGGGCTTTACGAAATGTGTGGCTCCCAACTTTCGTGTGAGATCCTCGATCCGTTGGTCTTTGCATCTGCAGAGCCACTTCGTACAGCTTTGCGGAGAGACAACCGTACGGCGCCTGTCTGCATCTGGTCGTAGAGTCGCATCTTCTCCTGCTCCTGCTCCTATCCTCATCTGTCCTCCATCACTCCGGCTCCATAAAACCTAAACCCCAAAACCCTTAACCCACCCTCTCTGTGTCTCCGTATCTCTCCCTCCCTCTCCCTCTCTCTCGCTTTCGGTTGGGATGAAGACTTGAAGTGGCTCTCGCTCCGCTCTGTCGCCGAGGCTCTTCGCCGACCTTCCCTGCACCTTGGCTTTGCTTGCGGAAGGGTGCCGGGTGGCTTTGCTGAGAGAGAGAAAGAGAGAGGGAGTTTAAGAAAGTGCTTGTACTTGTACCAGGATACACCTGGACATTTCAGCATCTTGGCCCAAACGATGGGTTCAATGCGTGCGTGCGACGTGGGCTGTCGAGTCACTCGCCCACTAGTTGGGGTCTGCACTCCAGGGCAAGCAGAAGGCCACGAAGCACTTCGAAAGATTCTTCGGAACACCGCAGGCAGGATGACCGTCCGGACACCAGGATGGGAGATGCCTCGCGATGAGATCGATCCTCCCTTGCACAGGAATGTCGTACGGATGGCCACGGAAGTAACAGTGAGTTGTGAAGCCCCTGAACATCATGCAGAGCAACTTGCCCGTACACGCTTGGCGTAGTCCGATGTGCCTGGAGCTCTGAGGCTGGCACCGTGATTTGTCCTCTCATGTCCCTGCCACTGTTGCAGTGCATGTGCCCATCGTGCCCCAGGTGGCTGCAAGGCGGGCTTCGAAAGACATCACGCCGCAAAGCTCGTGGCGGCGCTGCCAAGTGCTTGCCACGTGGCCCAGTCGGGTGTAGACTGAAAGGGCTCCTTCGAGAAGATGGCGGTGAGTGCTCTGCCCTGAAGAAGCTGGCCAATCTGTGGGATGTCAATTCAGCAATGTCATATTTTGTGATAGCAGAAGGAGAGATTTCGAAAGTGTGCGTAGAGGGAGGATAGAGGCAGAAAGTGGTGCAAGATCAGAGAGAACCGTGTACTCCGACAAGACTGTGACAAAACGTCCACTGGCTCCCTTGTGCAGCTACTTCGCAATTGGGTAGCTGCGGCGAAGACCGAGCTGGTCTTGTAGCATCTTGTAGCTGTCTGTGGTCGTAATGTGCTTTCCAGCATCAAGCTGGCTTCGTAGCCTCGATGCCGATGAGATGCTGGACTGCTCTTCTGCTCCTCCCAAGTGTGGGGAGTGGTGAGCATGACCGCCTGATCTCCCAGAAAGGAACACTTCTCTTTTGAAGGGCCCCCACGAGTTTGCCGATCCAGCATCAAGTGGTCTCGCCAGCCATGTGAGCTCAAGCCCGGAGTGCACAGTATGTTGCATCATGTAGCGGCAGTGTAGCGATCGCACAGAGCAGAAAACACCCGACCGATCCACAGTAGTGTCATCTTCCGTCACCTCTTCCGTCACCTGCCTTTTCAGCACTGCTGTGATCCGATGTCGACCCTTTGACGTGCCCATGGCCCGGAAGCCTCGAGGCGGTCGAGGTGGTCGCGGCAGAGGACGAGGAGCTCCCAGGCGCAACCCTTCCGGTTTTCCACGCAGGGAGGGAAGGGTCTCGGCCCTTAAAGCTTGGCTGTGAGGCGGAGCGGCATCGAAGCCTATGGACAGGACGAGGCGGATGAGTTTCTGGCTCTAGATGAGTCAGGAGATGAAGCCGTGGAGGACGAGGAAGGAGAGGAAGATGTTATGCAATTGACGCCGTTGGACGACGGTTCGAAGGTGTCCAGAGCCAAGGACAAGAAGTCGAAGAAAGGAGCAGCAGAGCCTGACGAGGAGGATGTAGACCTCGCGCCTGTCAGTAAGGGTTGGGGTCGTGGTGATTTCTACGGAGGGGAGGATGCTGGAGACGACTCCGAAGGGGCAAGCGATGAGGATTTGACTTTCAAGGAGGCAAAGAAACTGGAGGCAGCTCTTTTTTGAAGGGTCCGATGCCTTCGCGTCTGAAGCCGTCTCGACATTCTTTCGTTCTCAGGAATTGCGAGCAGCGCGCTTGCAGAGTCTCAGCGACCCTCTCTCCGCATTGCTTGGCCAAGGCTCTGGCGAAGGCCCAGTCATTGACAGTGTCCACCGGGACCCTTTAAGAGCTTCCTACACCACATTATGGCGCTACACTGTGGATCTGAATTCCATGGCCAGGAGAAGATCAAAACTCAAAAGCTCAGGATGTAGATGCCGAGTTCGAGGCAGTCTTTGCAGAGCAGGCGGAGAAAAGCATGGTCCAAAGGGACCTCTCACAACTCTCCGATGCCAAAAGGCCACGGTTGAATAGCCCGGATGCATGGTTTGCTTGCAGACTAAGAGAGTAGCTTTTGCAGTCATTTGCTGTGCAGGAAAAGCCTGTTGAAGAAGGAGTCGCCGGAGTTGCTCCCACTCTTGAAGGACTTCCAAGACAAGATCAATACCCTATTACCGCTCCTGTCCTTGCTGAAGCCTAGTGCGAAGACCCGGCTGCCTTCTTCCGGTGCGTCCTACCTGGAAGCTCGCGTCAGCTTGCTTTTAAATCACTTGGCCAATTTGTCGTTTTACCTGATGATCAAGGCTGAGGGTGCCGACGTGCGTTCACATCCTGTCGTGTCGCAGCTCGTCTGGCTTCGGGAATTGGGTGAACTGATGAAAGCGGTCGATGAGCGAGTTGGCACGAAATTGAAGAAGGCCGTGAAGCAGGCCAAGAAGCTCCCGGATGTCGTGGAAGGCGGTGATGCCGAGACGACAGAGCCACCCAAGGTGGAGGTAGCACAGGAAATCACTCAAAAGCAGAGTCTGTCACTGGCAGAGCGCTTGGCGCGCTTGCGGGGGAAGCCCGTCAAGAATGGATCGGCTGAGCCAAGTAAGCCCGGTGATTCGGCGGCTCCTTTGGTGTCATCCCTCTTGCGACTGCCTCCTTCTAGGCGGAAGGCAAACCGTGGCAGTGGCGAAGGTCCCGCGGATCTGGATGAGATCGACCCAACCTTAGGTGCCTGGATGCCCTCGGCCAGTTTGAGCCAGCAGCTGTCGGAGGTACAGCAGCATCTCCGCGAGCGCAAGGCCAAGGCAGCACCACAGGCTTCGGATGCGAATCCCGAGCCTCGAGCGCGAGCGCATCGTGAGCGAGTTCAGACCGAAATCGATCCAAGAGAAGCCGCAGACAGCTCTCAGAAGGAGGCGTCTCTCCAGGCGAGAAGTGGTGGCGACGACGATGGGTTAGGAGAAGTTGTCCAGGAAGCCAACGCAAAGTCTCGGATTCGGAAAGAGAAGAAGGAAGCAGAGCGATCGGCCAAAACGCAAGCCAAGCTTGCACAGCAGTATCATCCAGAGAAGAAGGTCGAGGCCGGAATGCTTCATTTCGGCTCCTGAGAGGATTCATTGTTGCATCTGTTGCAGCCCTGACTTGCCCAATGCCAGGGCAGACGAGCATCCAGCAAGCAAATCCTGGAGAACAGAGGTTTGGTTCGCTTCCGCTGCTCAGCTTAAGATGGCTTTCAAAGCGTAGTAAGGCGTACAGCCTTGAGTTGTATGCCATCCTGCTTAGTCCGAGGCCTAAGCCTAAACCCTCTGTCAGGTAAGAAGAAGGCCGGGAATGCGAGAGTGGCGAATCGCCAAAAGTATGACAAGCTCGTGAAGCGGAGGAAGGGCGCCGTGCAAGAGATGCGCGAAGGAGCCGCAGATGGTGCAACCTATGATGGCGAAGCCACTGGCCTGCGAACGAACCTCCGAAAGTCCATGAAGCTCGGCTAGATTGGATGCGCAGTGGCGCCCAAGCTCTCCCTAGCTTTGGAGCTCAAGCGTCTCACTAACAGGGACGAACACCATCATAGTTCGCCTCGGATCAGTTAACGAAGCTGCCATCTTTGCCTGGCAAACTCGCTTTCGGAAAAAGGTTGAGTGTTGCGGCCAGATCCGAGAGGCCAGAGTTTTCGGAGGAGAGTCCAGCCCTTGCCAGCTTGGCTCTGAGGCCACCAAGTATCCGACACACACGCAAACGCTTGGACAAACACGCATGTCTCTCACACACACCCGCGCAAACTTGAAAAAATAGACATCTTGGCAGCATGCGATCTAGCAGCAGAGAGTACGCTGACGCCAGATCTTCAAACGGGGGAAGGAGTAGTCATCGATCCTGTCATAGTGGACGGCAGTCCCCTACGGCTCTACGCCCTCCTCAGCGCAGCTTGGTTTTACCAAGAAAAGAAGTGATATGAATGCTTCCCAGCTTCGCCATGGTCTGCAGTCGCAGGTCATATGCAGGCCCAATGGAGACAGGAACAGGAACAAAGGGAAGAGAGAGATAGAGAATTTTGGCTCAAGTTTCGGCCCAATGCCGCTCATCGTGGGATACAATAGGAACTGGTTATGTCCGTTGCATTTAGTCAGAAAACGTAGAGGTCCCGTTAAATTCACCGAGGGGATGAACGAGCACTCGACAAATTAGACTGAACATGTCAGCGGAAGCGGCAGCGGAAGCAGCCGAAAAGAAGCTCGCTGACCACGGGCGAACGACAGGCCGCCAAGCGCGCGCTGCGCGAAGTTGCGGAAGCTGGCCGTGAACTGTCAGGGCAACTGGACTTTACTGACATTATAAGCCATGCAGGGCCGGAGCTGCGCGAGCTTCCCCCATGGACGCCAACGATCAGAAGATGAATCTAGCGTCTGTCGCGATCCACAAGCCTGTTGGATGCCGACAAGGTTAAATCTGCAGAAGTTCCACATCGTCGGTGCGATGGCGATCCTGGACGAGGCATTGTCAACCTTCGGTTCACCGAGGACCAACCCCGCAAGGGGAACCGGCTGGAAATACACCTCCATTTCCTTCATGAGGTCTGACTCCTCTTCGGATGCCGATGTCGATGCCGATGCCGGACGCAAGCCGCTTTTGATTACTAGGCGCTGAGGGCCCGAGCGGCAGGACAAGCAACTGCCACAAGGACTAACAGTCCGAGACGAGAAGCGTGCCAGTGCGCACAAACAGGACAGCTGCCGCCAGACATAGAGGAGGCCGACCGGAGGAAGAAGCAGAAAGCAGCAGCAACAGCCCAGGGGGAGAGGCAACCCACGCCACCGCAGCGCGGAGGGGACACAGCACCAACCAACCCAAACATGAAGGCGGGGGTGAGCAGTGCGCCAACAACAAATATCACTATCGAACTGTGGTTGCAGAGACATGGTTACACGTGGGGGTGGTGACGCGCCACCACTACAGCCACCACCACCACAGCAGACAGACACCACCCCGACAGCTACCCGCAGCCGAACCGAAGAGGACTGGGCAGACCTTCTCAACAGGCACCTACTACCACGGCAGACAACACAGGGGGGCGACGCAGAGGCCACTACGGCACCAGCAGCGAATAGCGACCGTGACACGGACCAATCCGCCACGCACACGCCGCAGCCGGAGGAACGACCCAAGTACACGGAGGAGGAGGAGTACCGCAACCAAGCAGAGTGGTACGCACAGCAGAGCGGCACCCTGCAGGGAAGCATCCCGGAAGAAATCACCGGCGAACCAATGGACACGGCAGCCCACACCACCGACAAGCAACACACACGGGCACAAGCGGATCACAAAGACCGCATGCAGAACAACCCATACACGAAAGCGGCAGCCAGGCCCAGAGGCAGAGATATGAGCGCAAGCGGAAGCCGAACCACACCACAAGCAACACCAAAGACCCCACCACCACGACCACCACAGGAGACGCGCCACACAGACAGGAGAACGACGGACCCCGCCAGCCAACACACCGTCACCTCTAACCAGGAGGGACTACCACGCCACCCTCGAACCCAGGAGGAACAACATACACCACAACCGCCGTACTTCCAACACGTCGACGCGGAAGCAAGCCGGGGAACCACATCGTTCACGAAGGACCGCCAGCGGCACCGCACACAGCCAGAACAGAGGCCCTTTACAAATGGGTAGCGAGAGACAAAGCCGGGGGCGCCAAATGCAGCGGGGGCAAAGAAACCTCAACTAAGCCTCCTTCCAGGAGGCTAGGAACTCTGTCAACGACAGCGCGGGAACCCACAAGCCAGCAGCAGCAGCAGCAGCGCCCCAGAACGGGAGGCGTCACCGCAGGAAGAGCCACAAGCCGGCAGCGCCACTACACGAGACGAGACACACTCACACCCAGCCAAGCAGGAGCTCCGGGAAGCACCAGCCAGAGCAAACAACGCCGCAGCCGGCCAAACGGCAACGCAGAAGAGGGTCCGCTACCGACGAACAAAACACAACAAGCTGAGGCAAACCCCAGTCCGCCCAACCCAACTCCAGCTGACCCAAGAGGTAGCTAGCACCATCACTACACCGGAGGGGGAAGTCATTAGCAGCCTTTGTCAAATAGCCAACAGAATGCTCCACAGACCCATCACCAGCAGGGGGGAATGGCCAAGCCACCAGATCAGGATGCTGCTCCGCCTCGTTGAAAAAGGGCAATCTCAGCTGGTACTGGTAGACCAAAACCAAGTGCACCAAGCCTGTGCTGAGCTGCGGACGGCCAGAGCTATGCTGGCGAGCGCCCTTCAGCGCACGACGGGGGGAGACGGAGCTTGGAACCAGCTCGAGTGGTGGTCGGAGCTTGTGTTGCTCCTAGCGCTCAGCGAGGAGATACTCGACGGCAGAAAAGAGGCCCACGAAGCCCGGAGGGGGAGTGTCCACCCGGCGGACACAATAGGCCTCCAGAATCCGCAGGCCTCAGAATGGCCCGCTCGTACAGACAAGTGGGGGGGGGGGGGGGGCAACGCTCC